CCTTTTGCACACCTTGATACTGAGAGCTGATACATTTTAAAATCCATTAAGCAGAGGCATCAGTACAGCTTGTAGCAAGAAACGATGCCTGAAAATGACATGCGGTGTACACCTAATGTGTATGTATATGGCAAGACTAACATAAACCAATCAAAGTACAATTTTATCAAAAAAGGAAAGTTTTAAGTGTAATCTTAAAATAGATGGGGTTGTTTGCCTCCACTAAACTCTAGGAGCTTCTAGTAAACCTGCATTCTGACACAAAATGCTCCGTTTCTCAAGCTTTTTTGGGCCAGCGCCCCGGATCCACCGTTCAGGCCCCTTATCGCCCCCATCAAATAAAATGTAGGCTACTTGCACTGAATATTATTTTCTGATAAATATTTATTAATAAATATCTTATTAATAGCTCATATAAGCTCTTGATTTTTCACTGTTCACTGTAAATCAGCAACAGATTCTCTGTTTTCATATCCTTACTCACATCTAGTTTGTTGCTCTTTTCTATTTCCCAGTTTTCCTGTTTCTGAGCTTTTGCAACATGCATGTTTTTTTTGTTAACCCACTGTCCGAGTTGCTGTCGGGGACCGATAGAAAGACTGATGTAAACCTTTTACAACAACAAAAAAAAAATCCGGTAAACTGATAAGTGAGATTTTAAAGTACCATTGCATACAGGTGTTCTGACCGCTTACAGGAGTAAGTATTAAAAGTTGCCTTAAAAATGCTCTCATTATTTGGTAAGGAATGAATTAGTGATCCCAATTTATCTAAAACGGTTTATTCTGATTTCACGGCACCATAGGTGACCCCAAAAACTAATCTGAATGGAAGTAAAGAGGTAAAAAAAGGAAAGATGAAATAATGTTTCAGTCTTCAGGATTTGAAGGAATGGGTCAAGATTACAGCCAAAAAAGCCATGCAACTTGTTTCTCCATATAGTGAAGCTGTCATCAGCAAGAAAGGCTGTTTATGCAACATATTCCATTCATTTCAGTTCAATACCTTTCCTATGTCTCTTCAATGTATTATACATTATTTCATTTCCTATTATTTGATCATTTGCATGAGTGGATTGGATAGATCAACATTTGGTGAGAATTTAGTCAATTGCACCTTCAGAATGAATTGATTAGACAATTTGTGACATGTTCAACACTTCTTTCTTTATGTGATCTAGAAAGAAACGTTGCTCTGAAATAAAAAACAAAACAGATTATTGAGGCCAAGGCTAGTAAAGTTTGATACAATCTAACATTTAATAAATACATTGATCTACTTAAAGGTCTCTCTCAAACATTTTTCATAGCTGTAAAACTGTATTTTAATTTGATATTAAACCTCAACTTTACCAGGGTAAAGTGTTGCTTTGGGTCATTCTTTGCACAAGGATCACATGTCTAGTCAAGCTCTTTATTTATTTCTTTATTTTCCCTAAAGTGAGAATACTAAGTTTTCTGGCACATTGCATATGGCTACATAATTGGAAGCTTCAAGCTTTTATTTGGTTAAACACCAAGTCACAGATATTAGGTGACGTGTATAAATATTTATACCAGCATGAAACATATTAAGTTTGGGAATGATTTGGTTTTGAAGTTTCATTTGCATTGGACTATTCTATCACCTAGAACAGGGCTGTCAAACTCATTTTCATTTTGGGTCAGAACAAAACCATGAACGTCCTCATCAGGGTAGGTCTTTTTTTAAGCTTACAGGCCCTCTAATTTTTTTAACAAATCATAAATGGAGAAATACGGGTTTTTCACTCTTCATATGCTTTGATAATTAATTAAGAATTTATGTCTGTGGCCAACCTGAAATTCGGTCAAAATTATTCACCAAAACATAACCTGCTCTGACGTTTTGGGACATGTCTGCTGCCTCTGCATTAAACTGCAGGCCGGGTGGGCCGGGCGCCGGCCGGGGGGTGGGCGCAGGCAGGCCAGGTGGGCCGGGCGCCGGCCGGGCGGGTGGGCGCAGGCAGGCCAGGTGGGCCGGGCGCCGGCCGGGCGGGTGGGCGCCGGCAGGCCGGGTGGGCCGGGCGGGCGCCGGCAGGCCGGGTGGGCGCCGGCAGGCCGGGTGGGCCGGGCGCCTGCCGGGCGCAGGCAGGCCAGGTGGGCCGGGCGCCGCAGGCCGGGTGGGCCGGGCGGGCGCCGGCAGGCCGGTGGGCGCCGGCAGGCCGGGTGGGCCGGGCGCCGGCGGCGGGTGGGCGCCGGCATGCCAGGTGGGCCGGGCGCCGGCCGGGCGGGTGGGCGCCGGCAGGCCGGGTGGGCCGGGCGGGCGCCGGCAGGCCGGGTGGGCGCCGGCAGGCCGGGTGGGCGCCGGCAGGCCGGGTGGGCCGGGCGCCTGCCGGCGCAGGCAGGCCAGGTGGGCCGGGCGCCGGCAGGCCGGGTGGGCCGGGCGGGGCGCCGGCAGGCCGGGTGGGCGGGCGCCGGCCGGGCGCAGGCAGGCCAGGTGGGCGCCGGCAGGCCGGGTGGGCCGGGCGCCGGCAGGCCGGGTGGGCCGGGCGCTGGCCGGGCGCCGGCAGGCCGGGTGGGCCGGGCGCCGGCAGGCTGGTTGGGCCGGGCGCTGGCCGGGCGCCGGCTGGGCTGCCAGCAGCTGGCTGAGCGCTTCAGGTTTGGTGAACCGGTGAGAACGCCTGATTCTTGACACTGTTTTAAAAACTCCTTCTAGCTTTCCCCAATGAGTGGAAATTAAACACTGATATGATTAAGACATTAAATATCTAGTTGTAAAATGTTTGGTTTACTACATTTTATTGAATATTAATTAAACATAATTAAAATGAAAAATGTCATTTTTAAAATTGTTTGGTAAAAACAGAGGATTTAATTTATTTTTATGAATTTATTTAATTTATTCCTGAGCAAATCAGCTTGATTGACTAAAGTTAAGTTTCAAACATACTAGTTTTATTGAACTGTAATGGTTTATCCGAGTTTTGAATAAATACTCAAAACACAGATGCTTGTGTTTTGAGTATTATATTTGAAATGGAATAATTTGCTTCTATTTATTCCTGGTAGAAATACATGTTTGAACATTTTAGAATCAAACTAACAGATTTCTTTTTACTATAAAAGGTGAAGAATAATCAGGAGTAACACACGACTGACAAATAAACTTCAGCTCCATTGTGGGTTTTTTCTTCGCAGCTCTTTGCTTCATGTTGTCACGGTTTCTAGTTGGTGAAGGCCAGACCTGTCCGAATTCACAGCTTTTGTATTCCGGTCTTAGTTTATTGGAAGGATCCAGATTTTGCAGATTTTGAATTGGGACACAGCTGAAATATTTAGCAGCTTCCTTCAGATGTAGCCATAGAAACAGCAATGCTTCTCTGCAGGTACAATGGTGACGATGAACATGGAGAGTCTGCAGAGCCTCACATCAGATGGAGCCACTCTGGCAGTGCAGCAGGTAATGCTCGCAGGCCACAGTGAAGATGAGTCGGGTGACAGTGGGGAAGATGATGACGACGCAGACATGAGCGTTCTGGGGCTGGACAACAGCGACTCGTTGCAGTAAAAGCTGACACACTGACCTACACATACTCAGAAGGCAAAGGGTTTACACCGAGCACAAAAGCACAGAATGTCCATGGATAGTCCTGTGCTCTTCCAGCTGACCTCAAGTCTGCGCTGCGTGTGTGTGTACTTCAGAAGTTTCACTTCAGAAACAGTTTTTTAACAAGTTTATTCGTGTAGGCGAGTGCACTTTTTTTGTATATTTAAGCTGAAAAGATGAAATCAAGCAGAAAATACGTGTTGAAAACACAAGAAACAAGTTTGTATGCTCTGTTATTAATAGACTTTCTTGGTTTTTTGAATTATTTTGCTTTTTGATCTTTTTTGGATGCCAACACATAAGTTGTATATGTAATGGTTTGTCTTCATTCTTTGCATGCTTGTGTTTTCAGTAGATGTACGCATTCGTCAGACTTGCTCTCCAGTACTCATGTGAGCAGAGTGAGAGGAAAAAAAGTAGATATGCTTATTTTTCTATACAAACATAACATTAGTGTTTTTGTTTTTCATTTTTGTGTTATGTTTTGTAAGGAATGTTTATGTACAGATTCCTAATAGCAGGCCTTTTTCAGGGTTCCTTAAAGTTTTCTAAAAAAATGGAATGGTGATGAACATTGCTATTGAAATTGATTTTTAAACTCAAAAGACCAAGTAACATGGCCTTATTATGTTTTCCTTTCATAGACCTTTTGCCAACAAGCACAAACAATGTTGACCCTTTGGAAAATTAATGAAAAGACACTAAACTGCAGAGCAAAGTTGTAAAAGATAGACTTTGTGTGTTGCAGCCAGATAGATATCTGAAGAAATAATCATGCAAAGTCAATTGGTTGTTGTGCTCATGTTTTCTTTTAATCCAACTCCTGGTTGCCCATATTGTGTATACTATGCATTACGTATTTGAATCATTTCACAGTTGTACCCTTGGCATGACCATGTCAATTGCACAATCAAGAACACTATGCTAACTACACAATCACAGGGTGAGAGACTGAAATCTGTGGAAAAACACACTCCACATCGGATCACACCAACAAGCAGCAGAGGATGTTTTGGATGCATTCAGCTTTTATTTCTTTGTGATGAATCTACTCCATAGATTAAGGAAATTCAGTTGAAGAAGAACTGGAAGGAAAACACCTTCATTTGTCTTCTGTCACTGTTATAGTGAAGTATTCAAAATGTCTTCATTAAGCTGTTACGCCACAAATTGGGGTGGACATTGTTTAAATCATGGTAAGCCTGTGCTGAACAATAGTTAAGCGATCTAGTTTTCATCAGTCTTGTTAGACACTTGGCCCATGACAGCTGTTCTTCATTTGGGTTTGTTCACCACGATCTTGTCTGTTTTTCCTTAGAGGTTTCTATTTTGGAATAAAGAATGCCCAACTCTCTCCTGTTTGTCTTGTTCATATGTTCACCTTATTAAAGTATAGTAGATCATTTTGTCTCACTTCAAAAAATGTTAAAGTTGTTTGATCTGAATGTTTCTGAAGCAAGGATGTTGGTCAGATCTTAATTTTCAATGATGTGTTGTAGTTGGCAGACTCCAAGCCTCTTCTCTCTGAAAGAAAGAAAGAAATGGAAAGTGTTTATTATGACCTATGCATATCCAGATTAGACATGTTTTATATTTCCACAAATTTCTATAGTGTGGTGCTTTTATCTGCAGCATTAAAGCAGTTGGTTTCAGTTGTTTTGTTTGTTTCTTTTTGTTTGTTTGTTGTTGAACTAAGGCTGAGAATATGGGAGGGAAAAATCCTATTGTTTTGGGGTTTTAAGATGTTTAATCTAAAAATGTTATTTCTGCCTGAATGTATGAATGAATGCACAAATGAGCATACCATATCACAAATCCATTTCTGGCAAATTAGTAAAAATTGATAAGTTGATTGTGTCCTGGTCTTGCTGTAGTTTTGAAGAATAGCCCTTTAATAAGTAGAAGTAATTTCAAAATGAATCAACGATAGCGGCTGTGATTTCATCTAGCTGTAGACAGAAAAAGTCTCCAATGAGGTTTGCTTTTCACATAAAAATGAACGTTTGAAAGTAACAGGTAATAAATAGACATTTTGTTAAGCCTGCATTTCTTTTTTAGAAGTGTTTATATGTCCAAAGTAAAACTCTAAGCTTTATTTTTGCAGAAATTCTTTCTTTTGAGCAAAGGCTTGAAAATAACAGTTTATGTTGAATTATTCTTTGTGTTTTACTAATTTGAGTTCCTGAAATGACTGAATTCACAAAAATATTCTACAGGCACATCTTTACTGAGATGTTCCTGTGGAATCAAAAGTTCAGAAGGTTACTGGTCGCAGGGGGAAGCAGGTGAGCCAGAGACGAGGCCCGGTCCTCCATGCGGCTGTCAGCCACAGGTTCGACTCTCGGCCTGTTCGCTGTTGCCTCATGCTTTCTCCCTCTCCCATAATCCACTTTCTAGTCACTTCACTGCCAAAGGCCAGTATGAACAATTTTCATCAGTTTTAGTTGTGATTTGGCATTAACATAAAAGTGTGTGTGGAGAGGGGGGGAGGAATGGAGGAATGTATTTTTTTTTCGAGTCAAGCAATAGTGTGGGGAATTTATTAGTACTTTGTTGATGGATGGAAACATCACGTTCTTATTAAACATTTTGGCTTTACATACTATTAATTGTTTTCTTATGAGAAAGAAGTTCAGTTTAAGAACAATTTTCAATTGTTCAGCATAAATTGTAATTTTCAAACATATCACTTGCATTCAGCAATAGTAAACTCATAAACGGGTTCGGTCGTAACACAAAAACAAAACGTTTCAACTAAAACGTAAAAGTGTTTGCGTGTCATACTAACTCTGTTCAAAGTTTCATGAAATGCAGTTGTTGGGCTTACATGCTAAAATCATTTGAATGATTCATTCCCAGGTTTGGATTAACTCACAAAAAGTTTTCAATACTGCTTTTCTAAACATTCTGCTTTTAATTTTGAATACTTACATTAATCTTCACACAGAAACCAAATTCTTTCACAAAAAACAAATGCTATCAGAGTCCAAATTATTAGCCCCTTAAGAAATGAAATATTTTTTTAGCCAAAGCATAAACTCTGATTGTGAAATCATGTGATTCAACTATGTAATGCTCACAATTTGTCTTCAATCAATCAAATCAAATCAAATTTTATTTGTACAGCACATTTCAGCAGCAAGGCATTTCAAAGTGCTTTACATCATAAACACAAAGTCATGCATCATAGAATAAACGATACATTGTTCCATATTACATTTCAAATACAATTCTAAACAGGTGTGTTGTTAGTTGAGATTTAAAGGAAGTCAGGGTTTCTGCTGTTTTACAATTTTCTGGAAGTTTGTTCCAAATTTTTGGTGCATAGATGCTGAAAGCTGCTTCTCCTCTCTTGGTTCTGGTTCTGGGGATGCAGAGCAGAACCAGAACCAGAACCTGAGAGTCTGGAAGGTTGATACAACAACAGCAGATCTTTGATGTATTGTGGTGCTAAACCGTTCAGTGATTTATAAACTAACAATCAAGTTAAAACTAAACTAGCCTTAATTTCTCAGAACAAGATTAGCCTGACAAATTTCATCCGAAAGTTCTTTTTTCTGACCATTTTAAGACTAACTTAATGCACAAATCAGAAAACAATTCTGACCCTTGTCAATGCAAATTAATATTGGCTGGTTCAATATTAAGGTGGCCTTTTTTGATGGTCACCATCAGAAACGGTGGCCTAGGGACACACTAGGAATATCTCATGATGAAGGACTTGAGACTCTTGCTATGTTATTGTTGCAAAACATTTTGATAGATTTCTAAACTTCTGAATAATAATGGAAAGAAATAACATTATTCGATCACAAACCGGCCACAACCAAGTGTTCTTCGCAAGATTTCTGACAGAGGAGTGAAAGGAATTCTCCAAAGAATTCTCCAAATCTTGCAGAGAGCTTGGAATTGGCTAGTACAATTGTTTCAAAGAAAATAAATAAGTAATTAACTAAATAGCCATGTATGAATGCTCATCATACCAGACTCCATTTATGAAGAAGAATCTGAAGCTTGTTTAAAGTTTGCTGCACAACATTTGAACATACCTGTAAAAACTGGGAGAACATATTCTGTCCATTAATTAACAACTAATACAAAATTTAACTCTTTGGATGTCATGACACATCATGTTTGGAAGACCATAGGGCCCGAGGAAAACTTTGGTTTTGGGTCCCTCTCTTTCTGCTAATAATGTGAATTGCTGCAATCAACAGTCAGACGATTAGATCATTGACACACCTGTTACAAACCTACTGCATCTCTCACAGTGCTGTTCCATTATGCCCTATATGTACAGTATGTATAATATAGGATAGGGTTATTACCCAGCCAATTTTTCAGCATAAATTTCCTCAACTTTGGATGATACTTATGACTTTTTGTATTGGTTGATCACCAATCGGATACTTACAGTCATATCAAAAAGTTTGGGCACCCATATTATTCTTAATTATTTTTATTTCCAAATATTTGGGTATTTGGAACAGCTACTTCAGTTGACACATATATAATAATTAATGGGCACAGTAATATTTCAGTATTGAAATGAGGCTTATTGGACTAACACAAAATGGGCAATATGATTCAAACAAATTTACACAGGTGCAAAAATTTGGGTGCTCTTACCATTTTATTGATTTGAATACCCTTAATTACTTATCATTTCTTTATTGAAACACAAAATTAGTTTGGTAACCCCATTAAGCTTTCAACAAAAGGTGTAGCCAATTATGAGAAAAGGCATTTATGTTGCCCAATTATAAGATAAACATCTTTCAATGTTCATCTTGCAAACAGGAAACTGCTATTTGAATCTCCTCTGAAGAATGGCATCACAGGGACCTCAGAACAACTTGACATAAGCTGTCAAGCATATATGTCAAAAAAAAAATATTTTTTATAAACGTTACATACTACAGCTTTAAGGTGTAAATTCAGGACTAATCCTAAAACAGACTGAGTTGTTTTCCATACTCACTTCCATCTGTCGGCGGATCCAGCCCAGTGCCTTTGCGATGCTAGTATAAACTCCTGGTTTGTTCCTCTCAGCACAGCCAATCCCCCAACTAGTCACCCCAACAAGCTTCCACACGGATGAGTCTTCACATGCAAGTGGACCCCCACTGTCCCCCTGTGAAAATGTACATGCAAAAATAGATGTGAACCTCTCATTCAATTTCTACTACTTCACTTACTGATACTCCTCGTATGACTCTAAGAATTGATAAAGATCTCTCACAGCAATGAAAATGGATGAAAGTAACGCACAAGTCATACTGTTTAATCTTTTTACATGTTCTGTGTGGTTTTTTTTAGGTTTTATTGGCCTTTATTTGAAGGTAGGTAATGAGAGGACTCCAGGACAAATAAAATAAGAACTTGTATGTTATACCAATCTGCCTGTCAAAATGATGTTGGCTAGATTGACAGGTCAAACTGCTTCTGTTTTATTTCTTGTTAAGCCAGTTTCCCTTGCTTTGCTCTTAGTGTTTCAGACAAACCAAAAACACAAAATTGCCCAGAACTATTCCAAGTTCTACTGCTGCAGAAGAGTTTAGCGACTCTACAATGGAATACTTACTACTTTAGACCAACATTTAGCTTTATACTTTTAATATCAGAGGAAGAACTGGAAAACCAGATTTGTAGACTGTTAAGTTTACAAATCTAGAACAAACGTACAAAGTACCATCTACTTAACAACCCAGAACAAGAAAGCACGGAGAACCAACTTTTAACTCAACATTGTAAAATCTAGAACTCAACCCAGAACAACCGCAACCAACATTTAGCTTTATACTGACTAATAGAATTAAACATGGCGAACCAACATTTACTTTTATCAACACGAGAATCCAGAGAAACCCCTACTAGTTCATAAATTATGGACTATTTATTTTTTTTCTTATTCAACATGAGGAACCCAGTTTTATACTTTTACTTTTTTTTTTTTCTTTTGGTTTTGTTTTGTTTGTAATTCCTTCTCATTCTTGAAAAGAATGAGAAGGAATTTATTTATTTTTATTAAATGTGCTACATAAATAAAATTACATCATCTACCTAAAGTCGATGGCAGAAAGCTGCTGTTGGAGTCACCCACAATACAATATTTAGCTTTCCTAACCTCCTTGCTAAGCCTCCTTGTATTTTGCCTCCTTGTAGCGGTCTCCCTCCCATTCCCAAATGCTGTCTTAAACTCAGGCAGCCAAAGCTTCCCTCAGTTTAAGGCAAAGCTGCCTGAGTTTACCTGTGAACCAAGACTTATGATTGTATACCCCGGTGCTTTTTTCTATCCTCAAAGAAATTGATATACGAGATCACAGCATCAGTAAACTCATCCAAATTATCTGTAGCCGCCCTGAACATCTCCCACTCTGTGGAATCCAGACAGGTATGTAGCTCCTCCATAACCAATTATTTGACATCTCCCTTGCAGGGTTGACAAGGTTCATCCTCTGCCTGTAAGCAGGGATCAGATGAACCATTACATAGTCTGAAAGTCTGAGAGCTACTTGAGGCACCATCTGATAGGCTCCACCCACAGTAGTATGAGCTGGTGAAATTAGGGTCAAACCAGCCACAACATATGTTTTGGAGTCTTTATTCCCACACCTCTCCTTGGGCTGACACCTTATGGTGGAGGGGTTTGAGGGTCCCAATGATCACAAGAGCTATGCTGTCTGGGGTTTCTTGCCCCTGGTAGGGTCACCCAAGAAAGACAGGTCCTAGGTAAGGGACCAGACAAAGTGCAGACCCAAGACCCCAATGATGAGAAACAACTTTGGACTTGGTGTTCCCTCGCCTGGATGCAGGTCACCGGGGCCCACTCTGGCGTCAGGGCTGGAGGGGGGGGAACAATAGCGAGCACCTGGTGGTTGTTCATGGTAAACATGAAAGGGAAACCCGAAGAGGAACCTGAAGAGGAAACATGGGTGCCCCTCCCATGGGCCCACTACCTGTGAGAGGGTGCAAAGGAGTCGGGTGTGATGAAAGATGGGTGGCAGCCAAGGAAGGGGGCCCTGGCGGTCCGATCCTTGGTTGCAGAAGCTAACTCTTGGGACATGGGATCTCACCCCTCTGGTGGAGAAGGAGCCAGAGATATTGTGTGAAGTTCAGAGGTTCCGGCTAGAAATAGTAGGTCTCACCTCGACGCATGTCTCTGGTTCTGGAACCAGTCTCCTTGAGAGGGGCTGGACGTACTTCCACGCTGGAGTTGTCTGCGATGAGAAGCGTCGGGTAGGAGTGGGGATACTTGCTGCTCCCCATCTCAGTGCCTGTATATTGGGGTTTACCCCGGTGCATGAGAGGGTAGCCTCTCTCCGCAGACGAGTGGGGGGATAGGTTCTGACTGTTGTTTGTGCTTCTGGGCCGAACAACAGTTCAGATTACCCAGCCTTCTTGGAGTCCTTAGAGGGGTACTGGAGAGTGCCCCTCCTGGGTATCCCTCATTCTGCTGGGGCACTTCAACGCTCACGTGGGCTACGACAGTGAGACCTGGAGGGGCGTAGTTGGAAGAAATGCTCCCCCTGATCTGAACTCGAGTGGTGTTTTGTTGTTGGACTTCTGTGCTCGTCACAGATTGTCCATAATGGACACCATGTTCAAGCATAAGGGTGTCCATATGTGCACTTGGTACCAGGACACCTACGCTGCAGTTTGATGATCGGCGATGTCATTGTTTTGTTGGAACTGCAAACGTATGTCTTGGACACTCGGGTGAAGAGAGGTGCAGAGCTGTTCGCCGAAGGGTGTCAGAAGATCACAGTCATGTTGCTACACCAGCCATTGTCTATGCAGAAACATCCACCTCCTCCTTTGGTCTTGCTGGAGAGCTTTGAGTCATGGTCTGAAGAAATTCCTTCCAGTGTAGAGCATTGACTGGAATCTGACCACAAAGCCAAGTCTTTGTGAAGCACAGTGCACAAGAGGAAGAAAAGTTTCTGTTCCTACTTATCAGCAGGGCCAGTCCATCCATTTTCTTGCTGAGTTAGCAAATGTTAGAGAGGAAAATCCTAGGTAAGGTATCTTGCTTGGCACCACTTTTGCGATGCTGAGCAAGAACCTCTGCTCTCGATCTTTAGTGGTGACTTGCTCTTTTAGTCAAGAGATATGCTAAATCTGCTGCAGATGCTACAAAGATTGGTAATAAATACAAAGAAATAGTATGTCTAATAGCTCTTCAAGGTATTTACACATAAAAACAAGCAAGGCAGAGAGCACCAAAACACAGATGTAGCCATTTGCGGCATCATGGAAATAGAAGCAATAACTAACTGCATAAGAAGAAGGCAATATGTTTTTGTAATACTGCTGTTTTCCATGTTAAATGGAAACAACCCGAACCTGACAGGAGTCAATTCCTCCTTCCAGATATCCTGCACATATCATCCAAGAAGAGATTAGGCCTTTGTAAACATCTGCATGGTTGCAGGTCTTGGTAGAGATGAGCGGTATCATAGCTGAGTGAAGAACATCACTGGACTCTCCTAGCAACATTAGTTAAAAATGAAAAGCAAATATTTAGAGATATTTAACTAGACTAGTCAAACTCATAACATTGAAATGTAACATTACGTAGGAGACTGGATTGACAAACCACACAGACTTACCATCTTCCTCTGTGGCTCCCCAACCAGATATCCAGCACATTTCACCTTCTGTAATCTCCTCTCCATAGTTAGGCAAACAAATGGGTTCCACAAGGCCTATGGAAAACGTGTATATCTCAGAGAATTTGACAGTATTTACTGTATGTTTATCTCATGTGTTTGGATTACATGCACACCAGCAAAATCTATATAGCATTACTTCTCAACAGATGTAGTCTCAAGGTAAAAGAAAACCCCCAAAGTAATACAGTCAATCAACACAGCAAATGTAGCAACAGTTCTTATGCAGATTTTTACAATGTTGACTAAAATGAGTCAGAACACACTAGCATTTCATTTAATCAGAAATTAGGTTTGATAGAAGGATATGATAAAGAGAAAAGCTCAACCACTTTTGTTAAAATGCTAACTGGCAGTTAACAAGGATCAAGAAAACAAAGTGCATTTGCTTTTCAATCGAGAAAATGTCATTACAGTCCTTGAACATCCAGATCAACGGGGACCCTACTGAGCAAGTATCACAAGAAAAACATTTAGGATGCTCAGTTAAATTTTAGGAGCCATGTTGATAAAATCAACAAAACTGCTAGATCAAATACTATAAACTGTTATAAAATTAATAGAAATTGTTTAACACTTCACTGTGCAGTGATGTTCTTGAACCCAAAGATCCTCTCACATTTTCCTGTGGAGCGAACGACTAGAACAGGGGTGCTCAAGTCCAGTCCTCCAGAGCTACCATCCTGCAACTATCAGATGCATCCCTGCTCCAACACACCTGAATCAAATGAATGAACCAGGCCTGTTCATAGCTGAGCCTGGTCTACTGGAGTAAGGCTGCAACTAAAAGTTGCAGGACGGTAGCTCTCGAGGACTGGACTTGAGCACCCTGGACTAGACTATTCAAACTCAAACCATTAGCAACTTTCTATAATCAGGCTTCAAAGGTTTTTTCAATCAAAAGCCAATCAGATTCCATCAGTCACATTTTGGCTAAATTTGGCATTTTGGACTTTCCCGATTTTATAAAGTATAGCATTTTAAAATATGCAGAATATGCACATACACCATTAAGCGATGGCATAAAGAGATTGCAGGGCTGTGTCATATCCACAGACTGGTGTGCGTTTGGATTTCTGCTCTCTACTGTTCTCCTCCTCTGCAGGGTGTAATGAGCAGCTGCGGCTTCCAGGTGTCATGCATTCCCCTCATCAAGTAGCAGGTCTTAGAGGAGTGGATTCCCAGGGATGCCAGATGGTTGACTAGTACTCTTGGTACTACTGCGGTCGCTGTGTCTTCACAGACAACTTACTACTGGTCTTATTTTTGATCTCCTCCTTCCTTGTAGGTAGTGATGGTGAGATGAAGCCTCATGAGGCATTGAACCACTTGAGCCAACTGGTTCAGGAAAGGGTTCATTTCTTGAAGCTTCATGTGCTCACGAAACCACCTACTGGCCAGGTGTATAATCACAGCCAGCTGTATCTTAACACGTGTGATGCATTGAATTTTTGTCTATTATGGCTCTTGGGAATGACGTCACAAAAGGTGTAGGATGAAATCATTTGTCTAAATTATGTATATACATATGTGTATTATAAAATATTGTTTGAATGTATTCTCCGTGTGTAATTTTTACCAAAATAGTGGTGTTATGTGATATGGCATGTTGTGTAATAATGTTAAATGGGCTTAATCAGGCAGAGGACAGTGAAAGTGCTTGTGGAACTAGAGGAGGTAGTGAATAGGCTGATGCTTCTGTTATTATTGTACCCCAACTGCTTGGAGCACAATAAACACGTTACCTTTAAATAAAACAAGAAACAGTGAAGAATACAGTTCCTCATAACCTAATGCATCTGCAAATGATCAGTTCACCTCACCTTGTTAGGGCTTAAAAAATCGAAATGTTCCCACATAGGGGAAATCCTCCTCTTTCTCGCCGGCTTCATCCTATTCCTGTCTATCTATCTATCTATCTATCTATCTATCTATCTATCTATCTATCTATCTATCTATCTATCTATCTATCTATCTATCTATCTATCTATCTATCTATCTATCTATCTATCTATCTATCTATCTATCTATCTATCTATCTATCTATCTATATCTCTCTTTCTCTCTCTCTCTCTCTCTCTCTCTCTCTCTCTCTCCAAACACCAAACTAAGTGTCTCAAACTAAATAACCACTATCCAAACTGTTTTCCAAACTATCAAACCTCTATCCATTCTCTAACTGACTGCAACTCGCCTACAACAACCCACAATTTGAATGGAGCCTGTGGGGTTTATAAAGCTGTCAAACCACTTCCTGAAGCAGTCACATGGTACAGCCGGGCAGCAAGGCCTCGGACGTCATCGTTTTCGGCTCCTCCCCTAAATGAAGCTAGCCTCGATACGCGCTTTACGGAAACGTCCCCTCCATTACTGACACACACTCCGAAGCCTCAGCACGTCACATAACATCACTACTTGTAGGTATCCAGCGACATGCTCATTCATGGGCCCAGAAATTTTCTCCTGTGGTGTCTGTCTCTTGTCCTCCTCACTCTGAAACATCTGTGGCTCACCTCCAGTCCTCACCTGTCTGTCCACCCTTCTACTGTCCATCTCAGCCAACCACTGGGGCTGTAGATGCTCTGTGCCGCTCCTTGTTTGCCTCCCCTGCTTCGTAAAGTAAGATTCAGACTATTTCCTCCGCACAATTGATTATCCTGTCACTCCTACTAATCGTCTCCCTTTCTTCCAGTGAGTGTCTGGCCTGGATTTGATGCTGTTCCCCTGCTGAAAAAATTATTCAAAAGCTTTTGTTTAAATACAAGTCTTAACTGTGCTATCCCTATTGTTCTTAGTTCTTGCTCATCCAGGATCATGACAGAACCATCTGGCCACCACGACTCTGCAGCAGAATTACGGGCAGCATTCTCTGAACAGGGAATCCTCTTGGGATGTCATGACATTGCAATTGGTGCCATCTCCAGCAACAGGGCTCAAATATTCAGTCTCTTAACCGGATTTCAGATCAACTAGTGGATGGAGGTTGCGCCCCAGCCTCCGCCTCCACTGGTTCCTGCACCAGTGTCTCCGACACGTCCGCTCTCCACGCCAGAAGAGATGTTGCTTCGGCCACTCTGGAGCCGTTCGCTGGAGAGCTGGATAAGTGCAGAGGGTTTTTACTCCAATGCACACTTGTCTTTTTGTCACTCCCCTTGATTCTTCCTGACAACTCAAGCAAAATTTCTTATATTATTGGACTTTTAAGGGACAAGGCTTTGAGGTAGGCAGAAGCTCTTTTTGATGAAGCAGCTATTCACAGTTCGTCTTGAACTGAGTTTCTCGAACAGTTTAAACGAACATTTCATCCAAGTGTTAGTGAGGAAGAGGCTGCTAAGAGACTTTGGAGCTTAAAACAGGGGAACAGATCAGTGGCTGAATTTGCCATTGTCTGATGGCAGACTCAGGGTGGAATCAACCAGCACTGAAGGGGGCGTTGCACCATTCACTTAATGAAAAGATTATGGATGAAATGGCCTGGAGAGATGAACCTGCTGGGCTAGATAAACTAATTTAACTCGCTATTCGCCTAGACACCAGACTTAGGGAAAGAAATAGAGACTGTCGCCAACTTCGTCATCTCGACCTATAGAACTTTGGAGCTGACGTCACTGCATGAGACGTTTACATCGCTCGGCACCATGTTGTTTGGCCACAGACCAAAGCAAACTTTTTCCAATGTTTTCATTGTGTTACCGATCGCAGTGAAGTTGTTTTCATGTTGGATATTGGATATCTGCGCTCCGCGGAGTAAGGGGCGTTTAGCTCATTTATGAACGCTGATTAAGCGGAAAAAGTGGTTCTGGGCTATCAATGATTTCAGGAACATAACCCCAAGATTAATTGAAACCGCATAGAGTCCTGGAATCCCCAGTGCCTCAGTAACTGCCTTCTGTCAGCCATCTCTTCTAAAAATACTGTTTCACTTATAGAACCGACTCCATCTGATCTATAACAGGGAAGTTAAGCCCAGTTCACACGACACGATTTTAGAAAAGTCGGCCGATTCTGAAAACGTGAGAGAGAGACCACACACTAGGCGATTTAAAATGTAACGGGTTCGATCGTAGAGTGTGAGGTTTCACTGGAACATATTCTAATTCCAGATATGAAATCCCTTCAAATTTAAATTCTGTGCTGAATTTAGAGTAAACAAACAAACATGGACAACGACGTTGAAGCGGTAACTTTAGTTTAACCCAAAAAAGACGTAACCAAAAATTAAAGCTTTGGATTAAGAACTGGAGACATCGTGAGCAAGGATTATATTTGTTAGTGTGTTTCAGATGCTTTTTTTTTTAACTTCCTGGCTGATTTCAATTAAAAGTAAACTTTTTTAAATGGAGCGTTTCTTAAACATTCTCGACAAAAGCTCAGGAATTATGCAACTATTATAGTTGTCTGTTTATGTATAGGCTAATTTGATCATTTTTTGCTGTGTTGATGTTGTTGTACAATATATGCATATACTGCACCTTGTTTCAGAAAACGGAATGACTGAAACATCAGAGCAGCTTAAAGTAGAAGAAAGCATTTCCCGCATATTCGTTTTTAGAAAATCAGATGGCAGTTATCCTTTTTTCCCCCAACTGACTGCGAAAGCTTAACGTATTCCAGCTCCTCTAAACGAAACTTGTTGTATTGTTTAAAATTGTATTATGACTGCAGAATAAAATCAAATGTGCCATTTCAACCATAGATTGGAATGCGCTTCTCAACCAGATGTACTCTGAGCAATAATTTTATAATTATCTTTCATTAAAAAAAAAACAAGTCGGGGGAATAGCACAGACATTGCGATGAATGAGCCAACATGATTAAACACGTTCAATATCCCCGATTTTAGATCAAAGCGGTCCCGATGTTCCACCGACTGGACCCGATCAGTCCTAACCCTAACCCTAACCCTAACCCTAACACACTACAGGATGATCGGTTACGATTGTCGGGAGCAACAATCTTAGAACTCTGAATGTTATAAGATTGTTGTTATAAGGGCAAAAAATTATGTAGTGTGAACTGGGCTTAAACTAAACAGCTTACTTTCCTGCCCCTTGGTTCTTATTCCTGAAGTCATTAGATTCTCCTGTGCTATGCAGCTACACCTTGTTTTTGCATGGCTCTGGGTGTATTTTTTCCTGTATTAAGCTCTGCTCTTTCTCATTGGCTTATTTAAAATGTGCTATTTTAAATGATTATCACTTACATTTTGTAGAGGTACTTTTTAAAAACCCATCTAGAGACAAGTGCTGTGAATTAGCTGTTGCAATTGCACTATGATACAAACATGAGATAGCTGTTTTCTTCAATTTGTCTATGTCAATGTGTGTCTGTCCTTATCAAAAACTTAACATAATGAAATCACAGGCTCACTGTTACACTGTGAAACTGATACACTGGCTAATCCTAAACATAACTGATATTGGATTAAACACAGCATCCCAGAAAGACGCAACTTATTGTAACTAGTGGAGAAAATTGAAGGAAGAAATTAGGATTTTATTGAATGTCTATTGAAACATTCTTTGACTGGAAATCAGCAAATACGCTAAAATTGTCCCACCCAAAGACTATTGGATGTTATTGGTTTGATAAATATTTTTGATATTCTGTGGTTATACTGAATTATTTTCTACTCATTTATTTTGGTTGATGATAAATTTGTTTATTTTGTTAATGAAAATTCCCTTTAAAAAAAATTATTTTCTCAAGTTATCTGTTTTTCGACTCCTATGTAGAAAGTTTCCCTGACACAGGAACTCCTACGGCTTTGTGAACATCAAAAGTACATAGCCACACAGACACACCCAATAGAACAAAAGAAACATTTTGAGAGGGAGCAGAAGGGATTTTGTAAGCGAGTAGAGAGGTTTATGCTTGTGGAGAGTTAAGCCATGCAAAGGGAAGTTTTGCGTGCAAGAAAAAAATCTGAGTGTCAGCACAAAGACTTAAGAGGCCACAGAATATTTGAAAGAGAGGATACATTTTGAGTTATTGCAAGTTGTGAAAACAAAGAGATGAAATTCTGCTATAAAACTGAAAATAAGCAGAAATATCACAAGTTTTGATAAAGAAATGAAATTCTTCTTACAAACAGAAAACATGTGCTCTTCAGCAATTGCTGGCAAAAATTCCCCAAACTGATATCGGTATTTTACCCACAACTTTCCTTAAGAAATGTTGCCTGTCTTAGAGTTTGATATCATTAAAATGAAACTCATCTCTCTTACTTCTCTCCCAGCCTCCATACCTTAAGACAACCATTATCAAATAACTGTTTGATAATTGGATAAGTTGCTTTTGCAAAATTACAGGTTCATCTTAAATTCATGCTAAAAGCAGACTGAGGAATTGCTGCAAAGTTAAGAATCCAATGCAATCAGTTCACGGACCTATATGCTTGTCCAGGAGCTGTCTTTGCTACAAATCAGCGACTCAGAGCAATTTGCTGGGTTTCTTTAATGAGAAAACCTTTTTTTTTTATTAATAAATTAAATATAACTGCATTGTTTGATAAGTAGAAGAAAGTGAACAGATTTGAACCAGAACTGGCATGAATAAAGTAGAAGAAAGCACGAGTTCATAAGCATAAGAAAATGTAGTCTAAGTAAAGGCTAGGGAAAAATCACCAGTACCATCAAAAACAAGCGGTTCTTGTAGCCTCATCAGTGCAATGTCATAATCCTGTCCTTTTGGCCAATACTGAGAATGCCGTATAATTCTCTTACAGCCAGAGAATGGGCACCATGGATCAGCTGTTCTGTCAGCCCCACGTGAACCGTCCACAGGGAGAGTTTTCAAATCTGGTCACAGAAAAAAAGACAAACAAGACATTGGATTCAAATTCTAATTCAAATGAAAAAATACTTTATCAAATGTAACTCATTCTTCAAAGAGTTCATCCTTTACTTTTAATTTTTTTATATCCACCAGACACACGCAAATCTAGAACTCTATATCAACATTTGCCCCTTTTCCACCGGCTCGACTCGGCTTGCTTTCACAGCTTTCCCACCGGCTTCGTTTCGAGGCTGGACCTGCTTTTTAGGTCCTGCTTCGGAGCAGGGCCACCGAAGTCCAGTGGACATTTTGTGTAAAGAATATAGAAATGACAATGGGAGGAGTTGGAGCAAAATTGCTACCCAGTAACATTTCAGCTGTTCTTTGTTAGCGTGACATAAATTGGTTATAATGATTTTCATTCAGTCAGGACTGACACTAACCACATATTGCAGGTAGATTCCAGTAAAACATTGATTAATGCCAGGTTTTAAAATTAGTTTACTGGACTAATAGCCATTATTTTGTGCCCATTGTTGGACACCACACGGCACAATCGAACCATGTGAACCGTTATTTCTGTCGGCTAATGTGTGGTCTCAGGTTTTGAAAATGTGCGGACAATGGGCCGACAGCTCTACAATGGTGCAATGCACGCTGGGTATTACACTAAGGAAATGAGGACGTGAAAGGTCAGTAGAGGCACTGGGGTTGAGACTTTTTTATTCAATGTCATCAACAAAGAAAAAAAGGCCAGAAGAAATGATAAAGACGATAATGAAAACGAGGTCGCCCAAGGGACTCCTCACTACCAGATGCACTCAACAAGTTCTACACCTGCTTTGAAGATCCTAAAACCTCCCTCAGCACCAGACTGATACCACCACCTGGTGACATGCCTCTCTGTGTGACCACAACAGATGTGAAGAAGTCCCTCCAGAAAATCAACCTCTGTAAGCCTGCAGGCCCCGACAACATTCCAGGGTGAGTACTGAGGTACTGTGCAGATCTGTCTCAGACATCTTGACAGACATCTTTCACATCTCACTGTCACTGTCATTGTGCCCACCTGCTTTAAGACCGCCACTGTTGTCCCTGTCCCCATGTGCTCCACAGTCATGAGCCTGAATGACTACCGGCTTATTGCCTTAACATCGGTAGTGATGAAGTGCTTTGAGAGGCCAGTCGTGAACTACATCAATGACTCCATTGACGTCGCTCTGGACCCCCATCAGTACACCTACAGGAGGAACCGATCCACTGCTGACGCCATTTTATTGGTCATCCACACAGTCCTCACCCATCTAGAGAGCAGGAACTCCTACATCCATCTGCTCTTTCAACACCATCATCCCACAGAGCCTGGTGCAGAAGCTCTTCTCTCTTGGACTGAGTCCCACACTGGGGAACTGGATTATGTACTTCCTGACCAGCAGACCTCAGACAGTGAGGATCCACAACACCGTCTCATCCTTCATTAAAACTCTTCCACCAGCTCTTCTTCAGCAGCTGAGCTTGACTCTATTTTGGAGTGACCGCGTTCCCATCGGCCCGACTCGGCTCTGTACCAGGGTGCCTATCTCCAACTACGTTCCAGGCGAGAGGCGGGGTACACCCTATAAATATTATATGATATATAAAATAATATACACTGCTCAAAAAAATAAAGGGAACACTCAAATAATACACACACACACACACACGTAGGGAGAATTTAGAGAGACCAATTAACTTTATTTTATTTATTTTCATAGTATGTATAGAAGGACTTTACAATCTGAGGGCACAAATATAGACTGTGCCAAATACGGTTCAGAATTGTGTTATTTAAACACTTCTTAAAGTGAATATTTTTGATGCATTTCAGTCTAGCATGGTAGTAAACTACTCTCTGAAGATGAGTAAATTCTGCATTTGAATCGGATACGTATTGAATACCTTAGATCCATCAGACATCCAGAGTCCTGCTGAGTCCTGCTGTTAACTTTTCTAATCTTGAATGCTCAGTAAGACATTTTTTCTATTAATCAGCCTTGACAGAATTTCAGAGAGAGGTTTGATTTTATGACTTACCCATACACACAATGGGCTGCAGTAAGGATCCAGCTTGACGTTATGATGGATCCTCCACAAGTATGTTCCCTCTGGAAGTGGAGGCTGACCTGCCAGGGAAACTGACCTGGTTTGGAGATATTACCCCCCACAACTCGAGTGTTGTAATGAGGCCTCGAACCACACGCTGAGAAAAAATGCAGGACAACTACTATCAAATGATCAATTTAAAAGTCATGTTTTGTTAGTGATCTACAATCAAATTGCAAAAATATTTGAGGACTTGGGCCCCATAATAAATTCACATAGCAAAATATTAACGTAGAAAAGCATTCCAATATGTATGGATGTCAAAGTAAAGATAAAATTGATGACAAGTACGTTTCAACTCCTCATCTTTGATTTTATTAATTTTTTGTCATCTGCATAACTAATTTACTAGGCTCTCATTGAAGCTAATGTACATTGACATGTTTTCTCTGGATGTACAATTAATCAGTATACTCTTCTTGACAAATGCCAGTTTGCTTTTCGTTTTTCTCACCTGACAATAAAGTGGAACTTCTATTACAATTAAATTTGAATTGTATAAAGTCTGTTATGACGTGTGTCTAATCCATTCTGTTAGTGGTGTTGACACCACCAGAATCAGATTTGCTGGCCAAACACAGGCTGCCTTAAGTGACTCAATTGTGATTTTTTTTGTCAAATTGGATTCTTTGATATGGATTCTTGTTGCAGTGGTCGTTCACACCTCCACACATATGCGACTTGTATATGTTCTCCAGTGTGAACGGGCAGGCGACCTGAAGGTGTCCTGCATCCGCTATTACAGTAGAGTGTGCAAGAGCGTCAGCATTCTCAGTTTTCTGCCAACCACCATGAAAGGAAGAAGCACTCAATGTTTGCAGAAGTAAACATGGATGCTAATGGTGGAGCATAGCTCACACATTTGAAGTTGTCTGACTGGAGCAGCATATCAACAATTCAATCCTCATTGTCGTCCATCATAGTTGTAGTTTTTCTTCCAACTTGTGCATATCAGGATGCAGAATAGTGACATTTTCAGTGATGTTCAGGTCAGATGAATGCAACCTGGACATTAAGCTGCATTTGAATCGTATACATATCAAATATCCTAGTAGCCTGTGTCGCATTCGTAAAGGATCTGACTTGTGTTGCTCAGACTAAAACATCAAATACAGGTCACATTACATAAAAAAAAATTAGAATTGTGTCACTTCAGGCTTCAGTGTGAACACAGCCATATTAACTTGGCTGCAGCTTTTGGTGTCTATCTAGAGACCCACTTTTTATAAAAAATGATAAAATAGTCAATTAATTTCTTCTACATAGCAGTTAAAACTGTTACCATGTCATAATATAAGAGAGGTGATATGTGAAAAACAATCCAATAAATCCATGAAGCAGTCAGACTGCAGCAGAATTTCCTTTTTTATGCACCGGCGAAATGCTCACCCCTCACAGATTATCTGTCTCACGCTCTACCATTGCAACACAATTTTTAAAAAATAATATGTTACCTGCTGCAGCTTATATTTTTAATATCCACTAACCTGTGCAATGGTGCAATAGTATTATGTAAGATCGGAAGGGATGTTTTATGTTGAGGGATACTGACTAGGGACGCTCTGATCCCATTTTTTCCTGCCATTTCTGATAAGGATCACCAATGAGGGCCGATCCCTGTCGAGCACCAATATTGATCACATGGACTGGCTCTTAATTTTTTGCTTTAGGTATAAATGCTACTTTGTTATCTGGTAAAAGAAAACCATAAAATGACCAAATTTAGAAAAAACATGCAAAATACTTGCAGGCACAAGGCAGCAAGTATTCTGTCAAAAAGACAACTGAAAATATATCACTAATACAATATTTAATAGTAAGGCTCTCAACAGCCTAAAATTATACATAAAGTCAAATAAATCTTACAACATTGCCTATATAATATGACAGAATGGACATGAGAAATAGTTACACCTCCTCCCTTTTCTTATTCTATTTAAAGACTTCTACTGACTATACTGTAACATCAATTGCCCATGTGGGATCCAAATAAAAAAATCTGAATCTGCATCTACTCTTAAGCTGCACTTCTACTCAAACTGCAGTTACAGCGGTTCGCCACCAGCTGGCACATAGAGCACGGTTAGCACTCCTGACTCATTTAGCGCAGTAACGGCTGGTTAGCGGAGGCGCTCCCTGTTGCGCTTGTCTGTTAACAGTGTTTGTCAAATAAAAGACCCTGTGAAAATCACACTGATTAATCATTAAGTGTGCAACAAAAACATAATGCCAAGTAAAAATGGAATCGTTCATTAAAAATCAAATGCAACTTGCATTAAAATAAACAATCCGAGGTTACTATCATTCTACAATTGAGCCGCTTTTTCAAACTCATTTTTGTCTTTTAGAAGAAAAACAGCTTTTTGGTCAACTGTTCCTTCTTGTTTGGATACTGTGTAGTTGGACTGATTTTGGGTAATACGTTTCATATTTTTATATTTGTTATGATGCATAACCATAGCAACATGTAACATTTAGGTAAATGAGCCAGAAAAGGCAAGACTGGAACACAATAACAGAGGTGAGTGATACGCCTGGATGAAAAGCAGGGAAAACCAGCAAGAGACGGATCCACCCAGAGAGGGGTGAACCCCTCTCTGGGTGGATCCGTAGTGGCCAAAACTCCAGCATTGGAAGGGTTGGGTGAGCAGCCAATGGGAGAGTTTGGGCCCTTAGGTATTCACTGATGAAGACAAACATCCACCATCCAAAGCTCAGTAGTAAAATCAGTCATGACATCACCCCCTCCTCCGGGGACAGCTTGTAATGCTCCTCTGGGTTGGTCCGGACGCTGGCGATGGAAATCACGGATGAGATCATTAGTGGATGGGAGGGTGTCCAGGATCTGTCCTCAGGGCCTTTCAGTAAAGGCCTAACAGTAAAAGCATGAGGCGGATGACCAGAGGGCATCTGTTAGGAGGGCAAAACCTGGATGACAAAACAGCTTTGAGCTTAGAGACATGGAGACTTGTCTCCAAGCTCAAATGAAGAAGGCAGTTTGAGACATATAACTGCCAGATTAATTACATTGGCAACAGGAAATGGACCCACAAAGTTTCTTGCCAGCTTGCAATTCTCTGTCCTGATGGGCAGATCCTCAGGGAATAGCCACACCCTCTGACCCACCGAGTATCTTGGGGCCTACGATCAGTGGCGGTTGGCATTCCAAGCATATACAGTAGCAGTCTTACAGAGTCGCTCTGGCCCTTCTCCATATTCTGAAGCAGCACATTCTGACACATGGGCAATGGCAACCTGAGTAGCCATTTCTTGAAAGAGTACTGGATAGCCATGGACAACGTGAAATGGTGAGAGACCCGTGGCACTTTACGGTAACCCATTGATGGTGAACTCCACCCAATGTTAGTTCCATGCATTTATCCTATGCATGGAGCATCCATGCATAGGATAAATAACTTTGACTTGACCTCCTGAACCATCCTCTCTGTCAAGCCATCTGTCTGAGGGTGAAAACCTGAGTTGATGTCAATGCTGAGAAGAGTGCAAACCTCACTCCAAAAATTGGAGGTGAAATGTATTCAGACCACATGAAGTCTGAACACTTCTTGAGACATCACATCAGTGAGTTTTGGGGGCTGAAGGGTTAGTGTTAGGTTGTGAAGAGTGATGAGACTGACCATCTTGGAAATGGGTTTGACAGATCAGGAAGGCACAGGATGGTAGCTGAAGTGAAAAAGTCTTCAAGTTTCTCAAAAGAATGTTTGACCTCTGAACTTGAACTGAGTCTTTAAAGAGGAGCAGTCACTGAACTGTAGTTCTTAATAAAGTGCCGAAAAAATGGGCAAACACATGAAACCATTGAAACTCCTTCACATTAGATGGCTCAGGCCAGTCCAAAACCACTGTCACTTTAGAAGGGTCCATGTTAATCTTTCCTGAAGCAATGACAAAACCTAGAAAAAATACAAAAGACATGTGGAACACACACTTCTCTTTCTTAACTATTCGTTTGTTTTGGACAAATGTAAGAAGAACCTCACTGACATGTTTGATATGACAAAATAAAACCTTTGAATAGGTTTGGCCTCAGAAGACCATTGTTTTCAGCAGCCAAACTGCAGTCTTATTTGAACTTCCTTCCTCTCTCCTCTTTCCTCCTGCTCTGCATCCACAATGCCTCCTTTTCAACTCCACTGGTATTTCTGCCTTTAGCTGTGATATTATTTTAGTTCTTCCAATGTTCCCTAACAAGGTGTAAACCACCTTGTTGTGTCATAATTTCAGTCTGTCTTCCAGTGCTTTTTATTCTCCCTCCCTCTGATTACTCATCATCCTCATTATAACCTGTGTTGTCCTACTCCCTATTTAAACTCCTGCTCATCACCTTCTCAGTGCAAAATCATCTGTTGCCTCTGTCAAGCTTTCAAGCCCTGATTCATGTTCCAAGAGTTTCTGTTTTTTCATCCTGTCTGCCTGTCTTTGACCATTGCTTTTGCCTAGTCCTCACTGGTGTTTTGAGAAGAGTGTCTAACCTCCCGTTGCTGAACCTTCCCTCCAGTCGACCCAATCATATTTTGGATCTTCTTTGCCTGAGTCCTTCCTGCGCTTCACACTGGGCTGTTTTTACTACTGAGCTTCGGGTGGTTGTTTGTCTCCATCATCAGCAAGTACGCAAGACAATAACCTCTTCCATTGCCTGCTCACCCACCCCTAAGAACGCTGGATTCTTGGTCACTACAGAACTCCCATTTCCCAGTAAATCTCTTTCTATTTTCCCTGGTTTTCATTTAGTCACATCCCTCACCTGTTTTGTGTTCCAGACCTGCCAGAGTATTCACACCTTGCAGGACCCCGGCAACACTATCACATTGTTTCTAATAAACGTTTTTGATAATCATTCTCCTTGTCTTGGCTACATGTTGGGTCATTGCTCATTTACCTAAATATTAAGGTACGATCTTGAACAGAATGAAACCAAAGCCAAATCAAGATTGGTATTCGAAGGTTGAGGGAGCTATTACTTCCCTAAAAAGTAATGTTCAGGAGATTTGTACTGTACAAGACAGTACAGACCTTTTATGAACCAGTGCTCTCTGCATTTTGAACTCTAGCCTTCTGCCTTCCCTTCTGAAACCGGCTCTGACAACCTTGCGGCCATAGCTCCTATAAACCGCCTCAATAATGAAGGCACAGTACATGGTCCACTCAGACTCAATGTCCCCTACCTCACCCAGAACATGTTCAAAGTTCTGCCAGATATGGGAGTTAAAGCTCTGTCTTACAGGGACTCTGCCAGACATTCCCAGCAGACCATCACAACACGTATAGGTTGTGATGGTGTTTATAAACATGTTCAGATCAGGGGGAGTGTTCCTCCCAACCACAACCCTTCAGGTCTCACTGTCATTGCCCAGGTGACCGTTGAAGTTCCCCAGCAGAACAAGGGAGTCCCCAGGAGGAGGACTCTGCTGTACCCCCTCCAAAGACCCCAAGAAGGGTGGGTAAGCTTGTAAGAACAAACAACAGTCAGAACCCTTCCTCCCCACCCATCAGAGGAGGGAGGCTACCCTCTTGTTCACTGGGGGTAAATCCCAACGTAGAGGTGTTCCCTAGGATGGACTTGGTGTTCCCTCGCCCAGATGCGGGACACTGTGGCCCCAATCTGGAGCCAGGCCTGGAGATCAGTCTTTGAAGTAGACCTTCAGGCTCATTTCAAAGATGGCCCCCGTGGGAGCACAATGGCTCCCACGGGGGAGCCATTGTGCCCCCTGTGTAGTGGGTGCACAATGATGAGCACCTGGTGGCCGGGCTCAGCCCTTAAAGGCAACATGGGTCTCCTCTCCCGTTGGCCCACCACCTGTGAGAGTGGCAAAAGAGGTCAAGTGCAGTGTGGGATGGGTAGTGGCCGAGGGAGGGGGCCCTAGTGATCTGATCCTTGGTTGCAGAAGCTGGCTCTTGGGACATGGAATATCACCTCTCTGGTGGGTTAGAGTTACTAACCCCAAATTAACAGTACTCTTCAAGTGAATTCTGCATGACACAAGGGAGAACAATGCCTCCTTGTGAGCTACAATTTTCGTCATGACTATGTTCCGTAGATCCTTTGAATTTGATCCTTTAGATCGGAGAGTCTTAATGTCAGATGAGGAAATGGCCAGCTCCCAGCTGTTGTCACAAAGTTGGGACCATAAAATCGTCCAAACTGTCTGGGTATGCTAAAGCATTCAGTTTGTTTCATTGGTACAAAGAGGCTCCTGAAAAACAACCCCCCACCAAATTTAATATTTGGCACAATGCAGTCAGACAAGTACCGTTCTCCTGGCAACCACCAAATCCAGACTTGTCCATCAGATTGCCAGATAGAGAAGCATGATTCGTCACTCCAGAGAATGCATGTCCACTGCTCTAGAGAGGACATACCATGATTTCTTTATTTAAATCATGGTGTGGTTTACACCAGTGGTCTCCAACCCCCAGGCTGTGGACCGATACCGGTCCATGGATCAATTGCTACCAGGCCATGCAAGAAATAATTAAATACTTCTGTTTCATGTATTATTTGAGTCTGGAGGATATTTTATTTTGAAAATCCTTTAACCGGCTTGTCTCTGTTATGTCTTGCACCAACATTGAACCCACAGCAGCAAAATGAGTAAGAAACAAATCAGATGTCTTTGGAAAGTTTCTTTGTGAAGGGGAAAAGGCCCAGAGAAGAGACAGGAGAATTATTATATGGTGACCGGCTGGTTAATGAGGCAATGAAGCTTCAAACTGTTTCGCCAAGTAGAGACCGAGCACCCTGTGTATAAGTAACACTTCAGGTGTCATTGTCTCTCATCACTCCAGACAGGAGAAACAATAGTCATTATTATGAGTTAAAATTTTCATGAAAGTAAAATGTTTGTTTTATGTTTGTTATGATGAATGCTAACAATGGACTCGGTATTCCCTTGCCTAACCATTGCCTGGACGCGGGTCATTGGGGCCCCACTCTGGAGCCAGTCCTCAAAGTGGGGCACGTTGGCGAGCACCTGGTGGCCAGGCTTTAACCTGACATGGGACCCCCTTCCAATGGACCAAAGGGGTCGGGTGCAGTAAGTGCTATGTGGCAGTCCAATCCTCAGCTGCAGAGGCTGGCTCTTGGGACGTAGAATGTCACTTCCCTGGTAGGGAAAGAGCTAGTGTGTGAGGTTCTGGCTAGAAATTGCCGGTCTTACCTTGATGCATGGCTCTGGTTCTGGAATGAGTCTCTTTGAGTGGGGTTGGACGTACTTCCTCTCTGGAGTTGTTCACGGGCAGGAGTGGGCATACTTGTTGCCCCCCATCTCGGTGCCTGTACATTGGGGTTTTCCCCGGTGAACGAGAGGGAAGCCTCCCTCCGCCAGTTTCTTGTTGTTGTTTGTACTTGTGGGCTGCATGGCAGTTCAGATTACCCACCCTTCCTGGAGTACCCCTCCAAGGGTAGGGGATGCTTGAGAGTGTCCCTCCTGGGGACTCTTTTGTTCAACTGGGGGACTTCAACGTTCACCTGGGCAATGACAGTGAGACCTGGAGGAGTGTGGTTGGGAGGAACGTTACCCCCAATCTGAACTCCAGTGGTGTTCAGTTGTGCTCAAGGGTGCAAGGGAGTTCGCCCAACCGGTCTACATGTGGACTTAGAGAAGGCATTCGACCGTGTCCCTCGGGGAGTCCTGTAGGGGGTTCTCCGGGAGTATGGGGTACCGGGATTGATACGGGCTGTCAGGTCCCTTCTGTATGACCGGTGTAGGAGTCTGGTCCGCATTGCCGGCAGTAATTTGGGCTAGTTTCCGGTGACAGTTGGACTCCACCAAGGCTGCCCTTTGTCACCGATTCTGTTCATTACTTTCATGGACAGAATTTGTAGTCGCAGCCAAGGTTTTGACGTGATGCAGTTTGGAGGCCTGCTTTTTGCACATGTTGGCTCCATCAGGACGTGATCTGGAGCTCTCACTGGAGTTGTTTGCAGCAGAGTGTAAAGTGCGCCTCCAAGGAAAAGGGTACAGTGCCTTCTCAGGGTCAAGGGTTGGTGTCCTGCCCCAAGTGGAGGAGTTCACATATCTCAGGATCTTGTTCATGAATGAGGGAAAAACGGAGCAGGTGGATTGGCGCATCATCTGCCGTGAAGCAGGCGCTGTCTATCATGGTGAAGAGAGAGCTGAGCCAAAAAGCAAAGCTCTCGATTTACCGGTCGATCTACGTTCCCACCCTCCTCTATGGTCATGAGCTTTGGGTCATGACCGAAGAACGAGGTCATGGATACAAATGGGTTTTCTCTGTAGGGTGGCTGGGCTCTCTCTTAGAGATAGGGTGAGAAGCACTGAACTCCTGAGTTCAGTGAAATGTTTGTAAAAACAGTCTGGCTGCCTAGGTTCTTCATTTGATACACCTAAAGCCATGAAAGTGACTGGAACATCTGATTCCGATCATTTGGATTAGTGAGCAAATTTGTTTAGCATCATACAGCTAAATTATTTTCAATCTTGTCCAGACCTGTTTCCTTAGTTTATTTAAAAAAATGATGACAATGAACCTCAATTTAAAAACAATGTCTCATCTTTAGTGGCTTATTTTCAATAAATTCTTATGTGTTATTACTTTTGGCAGTTTCAAATTATTGCAGTGACCTTTTCATTCTTTAACAGAGAATGAACATGGTGCACATGTCCACCAATTTTGGACACGTGCATGTGAATCATGATTCCACCCAGAAAAATATCTGTTCAAATATAAGATTGCCTCAAATTTATTATATTAATATTAATTTAAAAGCCTCAAATTAATATGACAATCATGCCCAAGATGAGTGCAAGTCCTGGTCATAAACTGTACTTCTCAAGCTTTACATTAAATACTATTGGTAAAAAAAAAATGAAGTCAGATGGAATGTGTTCTCTCACCAATACATTTCAGAGTGGTCACCATGCCTGAGGTGCACTGGTTCTTACTGCAAAGACACAGTCAGGGTCATATCACATACAAGCACATATAAAAAAGTTACATCAATTATTAGGCAGATCCAGAGCAGAACTTATCTACACTAGAAATTATTTAAACTGAGATGCTACACACAATATAACCTAAATTAGCCGAGATATTTTTTTTATTTATTTAAGTACTAAACTTCCAGTTAGCAAAAAACTATTTCACACATCAGAGTTTAAATGTATTCCTTCTAGATGTACAGGGGATCATCAGATAACTTTCTGAAAAAAAGTGAGAGATATGACTTCCTGTTTGTCACAGCAAATTAAACACATTATGTCTGTTGATTTTAAAGTAATCTGGAACTGACAGAACCTCAAAAGAATAACAGAGTTTTTTGTTTTTTGTATGTCTTTTGTCAGACAGTAAAGGAGGATAAAACAGTTTGTCTTTTACAAACTTTATCTACGCCAGTGTTTCTCAAGCTTTTTGGGCCACCATTCAGGTCCCTTATCGGCCCCATCAAATAAAATGTAGGCTACTTGCACTGAATATTATTTTCTGATAAATATTACTATCATTATTGTTCTTGTCTTGAGTTGTATTGTTGTTTCTGTATTTATTGTCAAAAATCCTTAAAAGAGAAACATTACTGATTTATTAGTTTCTAAAGAACAAAAAAGCCGTGTGAATAGAAATTAATTTTAAAGGTCTCATAAGAAAAATGCAATAAAAGGACATTCAATTTAAAATTGGTAGCCAATCAGCAGCCAATCAGAGTGGGGAAAAAAATCTTGTTCTGTGCCATTTTCTGATGTCACTAAATCCTGCAAAAAATGGCCAATTGGCAATACCAGTTTTAACTTTGAAACTTTCCAAAAAGGTCTGCAACATTAAAAGATGGATTGAACTGCAACTATATCACTCAGAACTCTTATTGTCTTCAGTGTTTCTGTCAGTTTCTGGTCGTGCAGGAGAATGGGACATATCCAAAAAATGTCATCCACATGGATGTGCAAACCAGAGCTTTCAGTGGAAAAACAAAAGTTGCATTATCCTTTTAATGCCATAGGCATATGGAACAGAACCATGAATGATTTTTTTTCAATTAATTTATAGATTAATAGTTTCAATGTACAGAAATTGCAAAGAATGAAGCTGGCTCTTAGTCAAATCCAAGTGAGTCAAATTGAAAGTGTTATTCAGTCACTTAACAACATCGTGACATTAATACTGACATGAAAAATAATATTGAAGGAATAAATATAGAAAATAAAATCTAATGAAGTGATAAGTTCCTTACTGTTTTGTTTTGGTCTGTAAAACTCAACACCGCTAAGACGAAGGAGCTGGTTATAGACTTTGGGAGGTCCAGACCAAAGCCGAGACCAGTCGTACTAGAGGGAACAGAGGTTGAGGTCGTGGACTCCTACAAGTACCTTGGGCTGTGGCTGGACAGTAAACTGGATTGGTCAAAACACACCAGCCACCTGTATGGGAAGGTGCAGAGCAGGATGTACTTCCTGAGGAGACTGCGGTCCTTTAACATCTGCAGCAAACTGCTGTGGATGTTCTACCAGTCAGTGATCGCCAGTGTCCTCTTCTACACCGTGGTGTGCTGGGGAGGCAGCACATCCAAGAAGGACACGTCCAGACTGGACAAACTGATCAGGCGTGCCGGCTCTGTGGTCGGCATGAAGCTGGACTCTCTGGTGACGGTGGCAGAGGCGAGGACACTGAACAAACTGCTGGACATCATGGACGATAGCAGCCACCCTCTACACGCCGCCATCAGCAGCCAGAGGAGCCTGTTCAGTGACAGACTGCTGCTTCCCAAGTGCCGGACCAATAGATTCAAGAACTCCTTTGTCCCCCACGCCTTCAGACTGTACAACTCCTCACTGGGGGGTCGGAGGTGACACAGGACAGAGGGAAGAAGGAGTGTACTTTTCTGCAAATATCCATACTTGTCAGGCCAAACCAGATAGTGTAATATCATATCACTGGTCAATCTATCCGCCAAATTCCTATATTTTCTCTTGTGTTGCATTTATATTTTTTATTTATAATTTATTTATATTCTTATTTCTTGCTTATTTTTGCTTAATTTAGGGTTTTGGCTACTCACATTTAGTGTGTACCTTTGTATTTAATTTGTATTTGTTGTATTCTTTTGTATTTTGCTCACTGTGTGCCACTTTTCTGCCTGTAAGCTGCTGGTGACTTCAATTTCCTGAGGGAGTCTTCCCAAGGGATCAATAAAGTACGAGTCTCAGTCTAAGTCAATACATTACATGTCCATCTACTGCAACACATACACCATACTTTGCAGGGATCTGCAAAACACACTACCACACATTTTTGGTTTGAAGTGTTTTGAAAAATATTAGTTCAGTCAGGTTATTTTGGATACTAAGTGTCAGGAGCCACCTTTGCTTGTGGCTCCTGACAGTGTGTGATGTACCAAAAAGTGGGAGCTTTAAAACATCACTTGTTTATATAGTCAAGAAAATCTGTTTGAGTATAAGCCACCACATAAATTATTAGATTCCAGTGTATCATATACGTGTATTTTTAGACCAAAATTGATCAAAATACCATATTAAATAAAAAAAGGAACCATAATGCAGACAGCATTTCACCAGGAGGCCTAGAGTGGGGAGCCCCATCCCTTCGCTCCTCAGACAGAGTTTGGGGAAGAAGACGGTGGTCGCTCCTTCATTAACAGAAGTTGTTCATGTTTTCAGGTTAGTATTGTGAAGCTGGTGAAAACTGTCCCCCCTAAAATGTGAAGTGGCAAGTTAGTTTGGCACTGATTTTGGAACCATATGCTTAGATGTGCTTAGACGCTAAAAAAAAGAGTGATTTCTGTCATAATTGCAGTTAGTGAAATTTTAGCTGCAACAGTTGTATAATGGTCGTTTTAGAGATGGCCATATGTATCTAGAAGCTCCGCTCCCCGACCCAAATGTATGAATGTTACAGTGGTATCCTGATGTGTTGTGTTGTTTGTTATCTGTTAAAAGTAAGAGTGCTTAATTTATAGAAGTGTTAAGGTTACTCCCAGCTACCTGAAATCAGCTCTCATCACAGTTTCAAACATTTATTATAGATGTTGCTCCTTTCCCCTACTGTGTAATCAATTCCACTGTACAGTAAGTCTCAGAATTATCCAACGGTTATGACAGCTTAAAATATATTTGATCATCTAAATACGTCCATATTGAATTATATCACTAATAACATGATTAAGTCTTTCAGAATTATTATAATTTAAAGAAATTAGTACCCTTAAAATTTGACTGCACTTGAGAAATTGGTGGTTTTTTTTATGTAAATCTGTGAGATTTAAATTTATGGTTTAAATGTTCTGATCGGCATCAAAGAAAACTTTGATGCTGTCACAGCTGGTGTGAGCTGATGCTGTTCACAGAAGTGGATGATATATGATTGTTTTAGAACAGGGGTGCGCAATACGCCGATCGCAATCTTCCGGTCGATCGCGGGAAGATTTTGAGTGGATCTCTGCAGCAGGTGACAAACTGAAGGCCTCCAAGATGCTGAGACCAGCACTTCCTCTTCTAACAGGCTTACCAAAATATTCACTGAGATCCAAAACATTTGTAGCTTCATTACAGAATAATAATTTTAAAAAATCAACAAAACGTGTTCAAATGAATATTCTCAGTAATTATTGTTGTTGTGTTCCAGATCCATTAACAAATGAAAATGCGACTCAAAGACCGAATGACAGCAGAGCAGGAGTTTAAATGAGCTGATCAACCACCGCTGTGTTCATGAGCGGCTCATCAGTAATCAATAAATATCAAGCCTGGAAACCTGATATTGTAACTGAATGTTATGTTCTTAATGTAATCTTTGCTCGGCGCAGGCAGTTGCCACAGCAACAGGTGTGCTTAGCGATAAGGACAGAAGGAGAGTAAAAAGGTGCGAGTGGTTTTGAGTTGATCACCTGTTCGGGTTGTTTCACCTTTGTTGATCTTCGCTGTGGTTCATCACAGCTGCTGGAGTTTCTGAACGTTCAATAAACGACAAACTAATGACCTCATTTGTTTACAGTAAACGTGTCGTAACAAACATCAAATAGGACAAATATATTTGATTAAGTTTTAACAAACAAATGGCTTCTACCACGATAATTATGTGACATTTAATTATATCCCAACCTCAGAAGATTTGCCTTTATCTTTGCAGAGCTCTTTGTTTCCTCCTATCAGTTTGAAGTTTCTCATATTGAGGTCAAAGTTCAGATCTGACTGACACCTGCTGGCCTCAGCTTTACAACCAGCTTCTGACTGAGAAACCAGTAACCTGCTCCCAGTGCCAGAATCTCACTGAGGAAGAAACTACATCAGATTTCCTATCACTTTATCATTTCTGATATATTTGTATAGAAAATGAGTCAATAGGGTTTAAGTTACAATTTTTATGTTTTCGTGTCATGATGTAGATCTCAGCCGGCTGGTCAGAGAAAAAGTGGATATTGTTTTAGAACAACAGAAGGACACTAAGACATAATCACACTGAGGAATGTTCATTGTATAATTTCATGATTTTGTTACAAAAAGACAGTTTGGGGAAGAAGACAGCGGTCGCTCCTCATTGATAGAAGTTGTTCATGTTTCAGGAGAAAGGAGAAGCGGAGACAGAAAAAAAACATAATTTGTTACATTTGTTTCAACCAAGTTGACACATGTAACACCTTAAATTGATTATTGATAGATCCAAGACAGAAAAGTTTTATTTTTGAGACTGATACAAATTTTTTTAATTTTTTTCTTTTTTTTTTTTTCTCTTGTGTTCTATGTGTAAACTTGAACTGTCCTGTATATGCAAGCAGATACCTCATTCAGTTTTGCCCCTTTGCTACCTTTTTGCTGGTTGTTTTCATGGAGACGGACTCAGCCAAACTGCTGCAAAAGTTGTTTTTTAATTCTCAAGGTCAACAAGAATTCTCAGGGTTGTTCTGCATAAACTTCCCTCACCTGTGATGATGAAATGTTGCATACCTGAAGGTTGCAGCATTTTGAAGCTTAATGACCTCTGCCTGGCTATAGTTGATGGAAATCAGGTTGGTTCGAAGGTCCTGCTCAATGGAGGTCAGAGAGATGAAGAAGGACTCCACATACCTAGTAACACATTTTCAAACACAGTTATAAAAATATAGGTATGTGCAAGGAACGATTTCTTTTATTGTAAAATGACATAGCTTCCGAAGGTCGTATTTTGTGCTTTTTATAAATTTTGATATTGAAGTCATTCAGAGTAAACATCTGTTCACTATGCTACACATTAAATAGTATTTGAATCATAGGTAGATTATGACAGTAGGAATTAGGTCCTCCTCAAGTACCAAATAACTCTTCAAAAATAATTATCAAGTAGGCTACAGTGGGAGTTCTTTGAAGTAGCTCTGCTTTCTTTGCAATTTCTTCTGTTTTTCAAATATTCATTCCTGCTTTTTTGTAGGAAAATAGCTTTTCTGGACTACTTCTTGTTTTGGATTCTGTGTGGTTGGACTAATTTTTGGCAATATTTTTGTATTTTTGCTATTTTATTATGATGCATAACCATATATTTACAACAGGGAGCAGCTGGTCAACATCAGAAAAGCTGAAATAATCTCACAGCTGAGAAATAGTGATATGAAAAATGCTAACTTGAAGGCGTAACGTGAGGGTGGCACCATGGAGTAGCTCTGCTTACTTAGCGATTTTTTCTGTTTTTCAAATATTCATTCCTGCTTTTTTTTTTTTGTAGGAAAATAACTTTTTTGCACAGCTACTTTTTCTTGTTTTGGTTTCTCTGTGGTTGAACTGATTTGGGGCAATAGCTTTTGTATCATCCCAATTTTGTTATGATGTGTAAACATAGCAACCAAGTGGTTTACAACAGGGAGCAGCTGTCAACATCAGAAAAGCTGAAATAATCTCACAGCTGCAGCCAGAAATCCAGAGGAGTTGAAAAGGAGGCGTTGTGGATGTAAAGCTGGAGCAAAAAAGAGAGAGAGAAGCAGGAAGTTCAAACCGTCTCTACAATCTCACATCTTAAGGGGCTTCATGAGATTGTTGGCTAACAAGATGGATGAACTTCAAGCCCCGACTCCCAAGCCCAAGGACTCAGCAAGGTAATGAATGCAGCATAAAGGACAAGAGACATGGCTGCAGGATTGTATTCCCAACTCCAACATGTCTCTGCCATGACTATGACTTCAAGCAGACAGAGATTTAAAGTGCATCAGGAAAAGAAAGGAGATGGATTAACAGTTTTGTGAACAACACATGGTGTCACCCAGGCCATGTTAATGTGAAGTGTCGTCTCTACAGTCCAGACACTGCAGAGACGAACTCTTGGCAGTAAGTTTCTGTCCATACCAAGAGAGTTCATCAGTGTTATTTTAACAGCCGTTTACTTTCCACCCTTAGCTGTTGCTAATGTTGTACATGCTATACAACATCAGCATTCATGCCAGCCTTCTGGGCTGTTTCTCTTCTGCTACATTTTCAATCTATAATAATAGCAATAGCAGCAAAACAATGTGGTTTTGTTTTGTTGGTTATAATTAAATTTTAACCACTTTGTGAGATATGAATTAAATAATTCATATTTCACATATCATCTCAACTAATGAGACACCACCACTCAGCACCTTAACAGTGGTATAGTGATCTTTGCGATCTATATTAACTATTCAACGTGTTGATCTTATTTTAATTGTTTATTGATTCTAACTTCTTTGTTCGTGTCAAGTCGTCTTAAGTTAACTGAAATAAACTATTTTCTGCCTTCACTGTTGATGGAGCTTGACTCTTCTTTAACAGAACAACAGGCTAAAGCTTCAGATTAAAATATTAACCTAACTAAGCAGAAAAAGAGGAACACATTTCAAAATTAGCCATCAATATTAATAAGGAAGAAAGCAAGAAAACCTTGAGTATCCCAGTTGCTTGCAGGCAGATATCCCGAGCTGATTGTTCCATTCCTCTGAGCAAACTGTCCTCCATGCTCCTCTTTTTTGAACCTGCAGAACTGAGCTCCTGCCACTCAGACGTACTAATGAATGGACAGATCACAAACACAACAGTTAGTAAAATGTTATCTGTTATTATATTTGTTTGAACAAATCTCAATTTTAACTTAACCTTCCTGCATTCGGGCAAAGCTCAGAAGGAGCAAAGAAAATTTCACAGTTGACAGGTGGGAAAGTAGGAATGGTTTCATCAGAGCGTCAATTTCCAAAACCACACAAAAAATCCTACTGGACCACGCACAGAAAAAAAAAAACCCCTAACTCACCTTGACCCATGATCTAACAGCTTTTTGGTCTGACATTTTTTGTCTTTATTGAGCTGCAAAAATTATGCATAAAACTTCAGACTGTTTTATTGCCATCTTTGAGGTATCTGACTTTTGCTCCGCTCTTCCTTTGTCTGTACAACAGGCAATCTCTTTTGGGATGTTTGTCATTCTCACAGAGTGGAAGTCTGCCTCACCCCCCTCTTTTAAGTACTGGGTAAAAAACATGGCTTCCTGTTTGCATCTTAAAAAATATGCTACACTCTCAATGATAATGTTCCCAGACATATTAGGACTTTCTTGAAGCAGAACTCAATTCTGCTCAATAGTGGTAGCCTTGCTCCTATTTGGTAGCCCTGTCCTCTCACTGCTTACCAGTCAGTGCACATGTGGGGTTGGTATATTTTACCTTCACACTTTCATACTCATGACAGATTGAGGCAGAGCTGAAATGTACAACTATTTTTCCACCATCTCTCTCCCCTAGACATTTGTGGATCGGTGTCAGGTCTCTGCCTAAGGCCGTGATAAACTTTCCATCACGTATCAGACACTGTTGGCTTTAAGTCTATAAACACACTTCTTTTGCCATAATCCAAGAGCACACCTTTTCAGTCTGAAAAAAGGATTGTGATACGATTATTATGTTTATCATTCTTACATTTAGTAGTTTGTATTATTATTATTAGTTTTTCATGTAAAGGTTAGTTTGGTTTGTTTTCTTATCCCCAGTGAGCAAAGGAATTTACTAACGTGTGTAACCTTTCTTTAACCCTAACCCTAACCCTAACCCTAACCTCGAGCATGTTTTATAGGAGGTCGTAGGTGAATTGTTGAGATATCTCTCAGTCGTAAAACTCTGTTTGTGTACAGGGTTTCCCCTTTTCTTGTTATCAAGAAACCCCCCCTTTCTGTTTATGGAAATAAAAAGACCAGCTCTGAAACGGAGGGTAGACCACATGGGGAGCTGCTTGGAGAAGTAGCTTTGTTGTATGCTCTCCTTTTGCATGAGATTGGTTGAAACTAATAAATGTTGTCTGTGGTTCTTTCTTTCATGTAGGTTGAAAAATTATACTTATCAGATTGCATGCCTTTTGGTTTAATATTTTTGCTTACATTTTCATTTTGAAAGCAGGACTTTGCGTCTTTCTTCTCAAAACTTGTAATGCTTGTCCTCAAAACATTTTCTCGCGCTCAAACTTAGTCTTAGCTTGGACTAGCTAGCTCTGGTTTGCTAGCTTACAAAACATGGAGCTGCTTTTTGTCACATTTGCTTGGCAACCAATAAAATGAAAGTGTTGCTTCCTTCTAGCAGGTGTGCCTGTGTGGCTACTATCACCAGCGCCACACACTGGATGTCGGGAGAAACAATGTCAGCTTTCTGTTTCGTAGTGCTACTCTTTCAAGCTCAGTTGAAAGAATATAAAGATTAATTTTGTAGAAAAAGAAGGAACTGAAGAAGCTAACTACATAGAAGTGGGGGTTTAGACTTCAAGGAATTGAGCGATCTTGACAGCAAATGGTCAAGCTTTTCACCATTTGCTGTCCATATGCTTTTCAAGCTCAGTTGAAAGAATAGCAGTCAGAGGAATGTTGTAGTGCCTGTCCGCACTTTGCCAGCTTGACCATTTGCTGTCAAGATCGCTCAATTCCTTGAAGTCTAAACCCCCACTTCTATGTAGTTAGCTTCTTCAGTTCCTTCTTTTTCTACAAAATTAATCTTTATATTATCGCAATCAGGAGTTCATTGTGTATATTTTTATCATTTATTGTAAATAATTTCCCTTCTTAGCTTATTCTGCATTTTCATGATTATTCTGCATGAGGGTCAGGAGAATGTTGGCAAATAGGAGGGCATGAATACCACCTAATACTCCAATGTTGGATTTTCTTAAACTAAATTTAGAGTAGGTATGTGCAATTCACAAATGGATAGGATGATGAAGAAGGAACATATGAGAACATATGGTATATGTGAATATTAACTGAACATTTAAAGACATGTCAAACCGTGGGTGCGTATAGGTATATTGGACAAAGTTTGATTGACATTATACACGTAAAAAATCAGTTAGACAAAATACAAAAACAAATTATGCAAACTTTCAACCTTGGACAAAGTTGGGAAAAAAAAAATCTAACAACTTGTCTCAATAATTGGCTTCAAAATTTGGAAGCTATGCTGGTAATTCTTGGTTACCTAAAGTAGAAAATGTCTGATTTTACACCAGACAGTGTAAAAACTGCCCTTAATCCCACCTTTGCTGCTTCATTAGTTAGAGTGATAGTCAGTCACACAGAGCATTCAGCCAATCATTGCACCTGAAGTGGTGCAATGCTCCAGCTTTCCCAATCAGGTGTGACGGGGAGAGCTGGAGACAAAGGAGCTGCAGGTTTCCAAACAATTTGCTTATTATGTACTTTTAAAACCTCACAATATAAAACTCATGTAGATCTGAGTATCCAGTGAGCTTGGAGCCAGGAAGCTGTCATACACTGAACTATATATGAAATTGATGAGTTGTGAACACAATGTTTTGTTTGTTTGGCATGTTGGTGGTGGTAGCTAATGCTAATTGTTTGATTATCAGACACACAATGTAACTTTTTCAATTCAATACATGTGTTTAAGATAATGAGATAAATGCTGATATTTTTATTTTTGTTTTAAAGATTTGATTGTGGATATTATTGCATTTATTTCTGGATATTACTGAAAAACCATCTAGTTAACTAGCAGACTGGTAATGTACTCATTTCAATACAGGCCAGGTGACCCTTTTTGGGTTAAAAGATGGCGAGTTTCTGACAACTGGCTGGAGCCAGAAGAACTTGAATTTGACTCCATACTGGTCTGGTAGGAGGCTGATGGTCCATAATATTTTCCTCTCCATTTCACTACATAGACACACAATTCATTATTCATCTTTTCATTGGACACAAATTGCGCTTGGACATTTTTCTCTTAAATATCTGAACAAACGCACCATGGACCTTTAAATGTGTCGGTCAGACGCTGTGCTGACCAGCGGGGAAAGTGAAGGACTCTTTGTGCACAACTATATAGAAGATCTACTGCAGTACTGTGTATATATTTATTGTATTCTGTTTTGTTTCTATGTATGTTCTGTCTTGTAATGTTTACTTAATTTTTTTTCTTTAAAATACATAGTATTGAAAGCAGTTATTCTTTTGTGTTGTTTTTATTGATTACTGACAACAGCTCCAGTGGATGAATTTAGTCTTCTAGTCCTTTAGTACATTAAGTAGTGGTACACAGTGAAGGAAATAAAAAATCTGGTTTCAGCTACAGAGACATGAAATGATACCAGTGCAACTCACCACAACCAAGCTCATCTTCGTGGTTTTCACAATCCATTGTTCCATCACACTGAGCCATGGTATTGACACACTGGGATGATGAACCGCAGCGAAACTTCCCACACAGCTTAGACCCACTGTAGATGAAGAGAAGATGAAAAATGTGTGCAGTGTAGTGTTGTTAAATTTGATAATAATGGATTATCATTTCTTTTACTTCTCCTCAACATATTTAGTATTTTTTTCAAAATATGACATACAAGAAGTTATAAGACAATGATTCTATGCATGTACTCACTGACAGAACACATATACTAGTACATATGCAGTCAAGGGAACTACACATTAAAAAAGGGTTAGATATTATAAACACATATTATATGTTACATAATATATAATATATTAGCTCTACAAACACACAAAAATGTGTGTTTGTAGAGCTAATATTGTGATTACTAGATCTCAGAGGATATGAGGGTACAATGCCCCTCAACCTGACTCTTATGTTCAAATGTCAAAAATTGTTTTATTTCAATCAATCAATTTGATTGAAATAAAGCACCCTTCATGTTTGAGCCAGCTCGCTGGAAACACATAATAAAGGGTATTTCTGACCTGGGTTTGAACCATCCAGCTGCAAATACCAGAGTTGTGAAGTAAACTGAGACTGGAGATGGGAGCAAAACTCTTTTTTGCTCCCATCTCTGTAAGAGGGCTGGTGGATATTACAAGTACCTTCAGCTTTTCTTCACTTCCCTGGACTAGCCAGAGGAATCATTGCTCATATTTTTTTGCTTAATTTCTTAATAAAATAATAATCAAAATGCATTTTGATTCATTCTTGATTGAATCAGTGTTTCATCTTAGGTAAGACTTATTTCCTTAACACACCGATCATGTTCACTACAAATGGCCATACCCACATGTTATCAGTGCTGATATGAAGATCAGTAATTAGTGAAAATATATGTTGAGTTTCTCTATATGTTGCCTTACCCAAATGTTCATAAAATTGTCATATTTGATACGAGGCTCAGCCCGAAGAGGATACATGGGTCCTCCACCTGAAAGAGGGGCCAAAGAGTTCAGGTGCATTGTGAGATGGGTGGGGGATGAGGGACGTGATCCTGGCGGTCCGATCCTCGGTTGCAGAAGCTGGCTCTTGGGATGTGGATTGTCACTTCTCTGGTGGGGAAGGAGCCGGAGCTGGTGTGTGAGGCTGAAAGGTTCCGACTAGAAATAGTTGGTCTCACCTCGACGCATGGCTCTGGTTCTGGAACCAGTCTCCTTGAGAGGGGCTGGACTTCCACTCTGGAGTTGCCCATGGTCAGAGGCGCTGGGCAGGAGTGGGCATACTCATTGCTCCCCATTCGGCACCTGCACATTGGGGTTTACCTGAGTGAACGAGAGGGTAGCCTCCCTCCGCCTTCCGGTGGGGGGATAGGTTGTGACTGTTTTTGTGCTTGCGGGCCGAATATCAGTTCAGATTACCCACATCTTTTGGAGTCCTTAGAAGGGGTACTAGAGAGTGCCCATACTGGGGACTCCCTCGTTCTACTGGGGGACGTCAACGCTCACGTGGGCAATGACAGTGAGACGTGGAGGGGCGTGGTTGGGAGGAACACTCCCTCCGATCTGAACTCGAGTGGTGTTCAGTTGTTGGACTTCTGTGCTCATCATGGATTATCCAAAACGAACACCATGTTCAGACATAGGTGCACTTAGCACCAGGACACCCAAGGCCACAGTTTGATGATCGACTTTGTTGTTGTTTCATCAGATCTGTGACCGTATGTCTTGGACTCTCGGGTGAAGAGAGGTGCGGAGCTGTCCACCAACCACTCCTCCACCATCGGAGTTGGCTCCAAGAGTGGGGGAGGATGCCGGACAGACCTGGCAGGCCCAAACATGTTGTGAGGGTCTGCTGGGAACGTCTGGCGGAATCCCCTGTGAGACGTAGCTTTAACTCCCATTTCCAGCAGAACTTTTAACACGTTCCATGGGAGGTGGAGGACATTGAATCTGAGTGGTCCATGTTCGGTGCCTCCATTGTTGAGGCGGCTAATCAGAGTTGTGGTCACAAGGTTGTCGGTGCCTGTCGTGGCGGCAACCCTCGAACCCGTTGGTGGAGATCTTCGGTAAGGGATGCTGTCAGGCTGAAGGAGGAATGTGGGACTCCGGAAGCAGCTGATGGGTACCGGCGGGCAAACCAGTATGCGGCACAGGTAGTTGTTGATGCAAAAACACGGGCGTGGGAGAATTTCGGAGAGGCCATGGAGAAAGTGTTCCACACGGCTTCAAGGCGATTCTGGTCCACCATCCAGTGTCTCAGGAGGGGGAAGCAGTGTAGCACTGTTACAGTGCTGCTGAACTCGACTCGGGACGTTGTGAGCTGGTGGGCAGAATACTTCAAAGACCTCCTCAATCCCACCAACATGCCTTCCATTGAGGAAGCTGAGCCGGGGGACTCTGGGTCAGGCTCTCCAATCTCTGGGTTAAGGGGTTAAATGACCAACATAAAATGCAATAAATTATAATTGCAGTTTACTAGTTTGTTGTGAACAAACTGAACTCAATATCAAAGATAAACCTCACAGCATCGGATTGTAGCTGTGGTAAGAAAACAATCTAACTATGAATATTGTTCTTTGAGACCTACACAAAGTAAACTTGCCAGGTCCTTAAAATCTTACATTTAAATATTAAACAATTTAAAATATTTTATGCTAAAACCATTAAATCAAATTGAGCAGCAAACTTAACAATTGTTACATTTATATATGTTGTGGTCTGTGTTAAAATATTAGCATTTATGGGGCCTTGGAAGCACTGAGGGGCCTTTTGGAGTCGCAGGCTTAATTTGGATTCAACAGAAGTGCAAATGATTGATATTCATATTAATTGTATTTTTCGATTTGTTTTAAGACTAGTTGTGGGTTTAAATCACATTTAACTGGAGATATATTTTTATTATTACTGTCTACCTAACATCTTATAAAACAAAAGATGTTAGATGGATTGCCTCAACGCCCCGACCACCAGGCTCAGCAGATTTTCTAGGGGAACCTCTGCTTTTTACATTATTCTCCAACTATTGATGGAACACAGTACATTTCAGGTATAGAGTAACAAGGGCGTTCACAAGTGATTCAGTTCTTTTGAACAGCTCTTTAATGTGAATGGTAGGACTCAAGTCTCAGACAGAGCTGTTCTTTGACTTAGCATATCAACAGCTGGTATTTTTTATTTAATTTAAAAAATTTAATTGGGGAATAAGTAAAATAGACAAATACAACTGATAGAAATGGATGGATAATTTTTATATTTATTGGAGCAGAAGGGGAATTTTTTTCTACCAAAGCAACTCCAGGCTATTTTTCTTTTATTATGCTTCTAAATTACAAATAGCCCCAAAATGTTAGAAATGAGATTATTCATGATTTTATTATAACCAGTCACATTTACAAAACATCACCACTCTTCTCATTAGTATGAACAAAGAAGACAACAATAAATGAGCTACATACATATGTATATATACATATTTATATACAAATAAATATGTACATATTTATATATATCTATACATATATATGTGTTTTGTGGGGCAATTTCTAGTGAGCATCATGAGGTGTTTGTTGGTGGACCCAAACTGCATATGTGGATTATATTGAATGTTCTTTAATGATAAAACTGAAAACTTAGAAATATCACATTGAATGCAGGAAGCCAGAGAGGAGGAAATGAGGTATACTGATTAGGATGATTAATCCTAAACCACAAAAAGGATGGCTGAAACTGGTTTCAGGTGTGAGGGGAGACAGCAGAACAAAGAGAGAGGGAGAGAGACAGAGATAGTGCTTAGGGCTCAAGGGAGCTCACATGGGACTATGAAATATGAATAACACTAAAACATAACAAGAAACATAATTAAACTGGAGTGATTAAGAATAACCAGACACAAGAAATAAACTAGAATAATTCATAAAGGTCAGAACAAAAGAAAAATAGGAACACAACTGATCTAATTTAAAAAAAGAGACTATTTATGAAACACAGAATAATAAACAAACCTCAAAACAACTCTGGTTTGTGAGTGTTTGTGGAACGGGTTAAGTGGTCCTCAGCTGGAAAAAGTTTGAGGAACATCAATCTAGCACCGCACAACAACTAATGGGCATTTACTGTTTTATACAATTGTTATCAATACTTTATTGTGGCTGGCAAGTTCTTTTGCGTTATGGAGGTCCACATTGATTCACTGGAAATGCATCCTTGCAGTTTTCTCTATTTTGCTCAAATAATACCAAAAGGAGAATGTCTGTTCATCTGTATGTGATGCACTTAGGTTTTGCAGCAGGACAATAATTCAAAACACCAGCAATTCCACCTATGAATAAATGAAGAAAAATAAAATGAAGATTTTGGACTGGCCAACCCAAAGTCCCGACATGAACCCTATTGAGATTAAAAAGACAGTTCATTCTTAAAAACCCTTAGAACTATAACAATTTTGTCTAGATAATTTGGCCACAATTCCTCCACAATTGCCTAAACTGTTATTTCCGCCTTTAACAAAACACCGTCATTTAAAAACTGCATTTTGTGTTTACTTGTGTTGTCTTTGACTAATATAATTGGGTTGATGTACCAAAACACAGAAGAAGGGGTCAAACAGTTATTCACAAAACTGTAATGAACTGATGATAAGCCTGGAATTAAAAAAAAAACTTTCTGTACAACAACTGTGCATCAGGATCTTGTGGTTGTCTCAGTCATTGCCAGCTCCACAGAGGTAACACAAAGCTGAGCTCCTTACCTCCAAGGCCAATCCCAAGAACCAGAAATATCATCAAGACGAGGCTCGAAGCAATCAGCAGTTCAAATCGATGAGGAATGAGTCTGTTTTTCCATCCCTTATCCAAGTCATTGTCTGCCAATTAAAAAGACACAACATTTTGAATATTTAGCTGAACCCCATATTTTTCCTATGAATAAATACTTTCTCCCAGTATTTTGTACTTTCTGATAATCAGAATATGTTTTTCATATTCACAAAGGTTGACATTCGAAATGGACTGTGCCTACTAATGTTCACATGAGCATATTTTGTTCCAAGAGCCTTTTTGTTGGTAGAGTCACATATTGTTTCTCTGTTAGTCTTCAGTTCAAGTGACTAACCAACAGAGGTTAGTCGCTTGGGTTAGGGTTGATTGTCTTGTACAATACGACTAATCGACTATCCTCAGGACCAGGAAAGGCTGCATTCACACTGCAGCCTGAAGTGACCCAATTCCGATTGTTGAAAATGGACTTATTTAACTGTGTGTACATCACTTTTAAGAGCTCAGGAAGCCATCTGAATAAGCTTCACTCTGATTGGTTCATTTGTTATCTCAAGCTGCCATTAGTTGTTGAAAGAGCACATGTTCAGTTTTAGTTGACGAAGTAATGGTTGGAAGCCGTCCAGAGTTGTTGTTCCAGAGATTGGGAAAGTGTAAATGAATAAAAACCACTCTCAGCTCCATCAAAGGAAACCAAGACCTGAAAACGTTTCATCATTCTTGACCGAATGCTCATCGTTCTATTTTAAAGAACACTAACTAAAGGGAGCACAACACCGATTTTTTTTTTTTTTTTTTTTGCCGTAATGCAACCTGTATCTGATCTTTTCATGACGGTCTGAACTGATTCATTTAGAATCCAACAGAGGCCACTTGGATATCCGATACGTTTCTGATACAAATGTGACCTAACGCCCAGGTTGCATTCATCCAATCGAAATGTCATTGATAAATGTCATTGACATTCTGCACCCCATATTCTCAAAATTGATAAGTACAAGCAGGAAGAAAAAGAATAACTATGGTCGACAACAAGAATTAAATTGTAAATATAATCCTTCTTTAGCATCCATGTTTACTTCTGCAAACATTGAGCACTGCTTCTTTTTTATGGTGGTTGGCAAAACACTGAGCGCGCTTCTCTGTGTGTGATGTTATTTCGCCCTCTACTGCGCATGCGGGATACTTTCAGGTTGTGTCCCGAGTGCTGAGATCAGAGATCACGGAGTCGCATATATTTGGACGTGGGAATCACCACGGCAAAAAATTGATTTGACAAAAAAATCGAAATTGGGTCACTGTATCCTGCAGAGTGATCATAGCCTAAGTCTTCTTAAAATATGGCATCTTTGAGAACATTTCTAAAAAATATAATGTTTTCAGCAAAGTTGAGGTGACTGTTCAGGAATGACCCAAGGTATTTAAAATTTGAAACAGTTTCAACAGGTTGGTCATCGAGTGAAACTGAATTAATAATAAAGACTTTGTGGTATTCTGATTTAGTGATACATTTATGTTAGTTGTGTTACCAACCCCACGACACTAGAGGCAGTAATAGACTCAAAAAGATGAAACAAAGGAGCAGAATTAGAAAGACAAAGAAAGCTTTAGAATTTAAGAACTGTGAGTTGTGCTGAAGTAAAAAACAGAGAAGTTCAAATACATGCTGAGTGGAACTTCCTAAAGGTGAAGAAATCACAAATTTCAAAAGAAAAGAAAATACTTGAACTCCTCCACTTGAGGCAGGACATCTTCCTCGACCCGGAGAAGGCACTCTACCCTTTTCTGGCTCAAGACCATGTCCTCGGATTTGGAGGCACTGATCCTCATCCCGGCCGTTTCACACTCTGCTGCAAATCGCTCTAGCGAGAGCTGCAGATCACGTCCCAATGAAGGCCACCAAAACGGATCCCCTCAACACCTTGGCTCGCCTAGAAATTCTGTCCATGTAAGTAATGAACAGAATCGGTGACAAAGGGCAGCCCTGGTGGAGTCCAACTCTCACCGGAAACAAGCCCGACTTAATGCCGGCAATGCAGACCAGACTCCAACACCGGTCATACAGGAACCTGACAGCCAGTATCAAACGGCCCGAATCGCCATACTCCCAGAGAGCCCCCTACAGGACTCCCCGTAGGGACACGGTTGAACGCCTTCTCCAAGTCCACAAAACACTTGTAGACCAGTTGGGCGAACTCCCACAGACCCTCCAGGACCCTGCTGAGGGTGTAGAGCTGGTCCAGAACTGGACCACACTGCTCTTCCTGAATCCGAGGTTTGACTATCCGACAGACCCTCCTCTCCAGGACCCCTGAATAGACCTTGTCAGGGAGGCTTAAGAGTGTGACCCCTCTATAATTGGAGCACATCCTCCGGTCCCCTTTTTTGAACAACGGGAACCACCACCCCAGTCTGCCAATCCAGGGGAACTGCAACCAATGTCCATGCGACATTGCAAAGTCGCGTCAACCAACACAACCCTACAACATCCAGAGCCTTAAGGAACTCTGGGCAAATCTCATCCACCCCTGGGTCCTGCCACCGAGGAGCTTTTTAACCACCTTGGTGACCTCGTCCCGAGATTGGAGAGCCCGACCCAGAGTCCCGGGCTCAGCTTCCTCAATGGAAGGCATGTTGATGGGATTGAGGAGGTCTTCGAAGTATTCTGCCCACCGGCCCACAATGTCCCGAATCGAGGTCAGCAGAACACCATCCCCACTGTAAACAGTGTTGGGGCTACACAATGGAGGCATGGAACATGGTCCACTCAGACTCAGTGTCCTCCACCTTCCCCAGAAAGTGTTGAAAGTTCTGCCTTAGATGGGAGTTAAAGCTCCATCTCACAGGGGATTCTGCCAGATGTTCCCAGCAGACCCTCACAACATTTTTGGGCCTGCCAGGTCTGTCCAGCGTCCTCCCCCATCATCGGAGCCAACTCACCACCAGGTAGTGGTCAGTGGACAGCTCCGCACCTCTCTTCACCCAAGTGTCCAAGACATACGGCTGCAGATCCGATGAAATTATGACATATTTGATCATCGTGTCATGGTGTCCGTTATGGACGATCCGTGGCGAGCACAGACCTGGAGGGGGATCGCCCCTCCAGGTCTCACTGTCATTGCCCACGTGAGCATTGAAGGCCCACAGCAGAACAAGGAAGTCCCCAGGAGGGGCACTCTCCAGTACCCCCTATAAGGACTCCGAAAAGGCTGGGCAATCTGAACTGCCCATAAGCACAAACAACAGTCAGAACCCGTCCCCCCACCGAAAGGTGGAGGGAGGATACCCTCTCATTCACCGGGGTAAACCCCAACGTGCAGGTGCCAAGTTGGGGAGCATCTCGGCACAAGTATGCCCACTCCTGCTCGATGCCTCTCACCGTGGCAACTCCAGAGTGGAAGTATGTGTCGCCCCTCTCAAGGAGACTGGTTCCACAACCAGAGCCATGCGTCGAGGTGAGACCTACTTAAGCAGAGTCATGCTTATGTGGCAATATGCCCTGTAGGCTCTGAACGCACCACACAAGAATCTGAATCTAATTGGTTGTGGCGCTGGCTGTCTGTATAAAAGGGGCCTCCCTCACCTGGTTGACATCATGTTTTCCTTCCGGTTCAGTCCTCAGCATTTACTGGCACTGCATGTTTGCTGCATATTTATGCACTTGAATGATGTGCTTAACACTCTAATCGCCGCTCGATCCTCCTTGTGCTAAGAAGTTTCCCACAGTCTTAATGTTGAAGCATAGCTTTAGCTCAGTTTTACCTGTATGACCCGTACAAGCAGTCTGATTCCTCTTCCTGCCAGAGCCACTACGTATAGAGCGCAGTGGTAAGTGAAATGCTTGTCTTCTGTATGCTTCCAGATTCTATTTGTGACATTTATTTTTGATAGACGCTGCTGTTTGTCCTTGACCGACTGTTTTGCCTGTTGTTCCTGGCTGGTGGTCCATCTATTATCTAGGTTATCTGTTGTCGCTGCCCACCTGTTGCTCTGATTTGGGCTAGTGTGTGACCAGCTCAGACCGATTCTTCTAGTGCTGCTCTGGGTGCCGTCTGCTGCAGCGTGGCGGTTCATCCTAGGACGGATCTTTAATTTGAACTGTTGCTGCTTGATTTGTTGCGACTGAACTGTATCATTGTGAATTAATGTATGCAATTTGAACGTTTCCTTTCCTTTTATTTTGACAAGAATGGCCAGATCGTGGTGTTGGTGGTGGACTTTCCGGTTGGTGTACTTTTTCTGGTTTGGTGCACAATTTTCTTTTCATTTTGCTGTGTTTCTTATTAGGTCACTATCTATAATTTGCACTGCCATCTCTGAGTTGAGCCATAACTATCTTTTAATGTGTGAGTGGTTAGTATATTCATGATTAAACTGAAAACAATTGTGCAATAAATAAAATTATTGAATTGGGTGACATTGTCTCAAGCCTCATCTGTAGCAGGTCTGTGTGCCTTAAAGGAAACTTTTCAAGTAGAGTTATTGTAATCTTATCTCTACTAATGTGGCGGTCATAAATTCAAGTTGCCTATTTTGATCGCACAGATCCCACATTTATCCGACGTCAGAACAGTATGGTTTTGTGGACATTACTTAAAGCATAGTAATGGCGCAACAAACAAGTTAAGACTTTTGCCACTTGAAGTAGAGTTATTTGCCAAACTGCCATTGTAAAGTGCAAGTTGTCTGCCAATAACAGGAAGTGTGCTCATATTGAAAACATATCTCACCATGAACAAAAGGCTGAACTTTTGTGACTGGCATGGTTGGACTGGCTGCAGCTTGAGAATGAAGCTCTTCTGGGTTACCTGGATCTTTCTCTGGTTGAAAATCTGCGATAAAGCTGCCAAGGGGGCTGATAATAAGAGTGTTGGGGGTTTCTACAGTGGGGAAGTCTTCCTCCGTAACCGAAACCACTTCAATCTTGGAGCTATCTGAGCCTCCAACTGTCTTCGTCTTAAATTCCTAAAAGAAAGTTATGTAAAATTAATCATTTATTTAGACATCCAACTGATCAACATACAGTTAACCCAAAATCATTTTATGGCCATGAAAGATTTATAAATAAGATGATTTTCATTCAGCAACATTTTTTTGGTTTCAGATAGGAAATATGAGACCAGCATCTCTCAAAAGATGAAAAAAAAAACAAAAAACACGGCATCAAAAAAAAAGATTATTTTCTCATAAATTTTGCTCTACAGTGTCATGTTGAAAAACATTTATACTCTTCTCAATGATCAATGGAAAAATTATTATTGGCATTATAGCAATTCAACTCTTCCTACAATAATTGCTAACTTGGTATTCGCTATTTGATTTGTTATCTTTATGCTGCTTGAAAACAGAAGAGTGGGAATTGTCAGAGCACAATGTCCAAGGTGAAGGCAATGAAGTCACTGATTCTGACTCTCTTTTTGACGAATGTCCTCTCACTAGATCAGGGGTGGCCAACCAGACAAAGACCAAGAGCCTCATTTTTTACCAAGTTACTGTGAAGAGCCACATCATATGCATGGGCACACATGAACATCAACCCATCCCTTCCTCATACTCTCATACTTTTGCTCAGCCAGATTTATTATTTTCACACACTATTTTTAACACTGCAAAGACCACAGGCCAGACATTATCAACAATGAACACTGTGCACTTTCTCATGCAAACAAACTCTGTTTAACCAAATAAACAATAATAGAACAATTTACAATTCATTTTTCCTTTTATTATGTGCATTACATGTGTTATTTAATGAAGTGGTGCTGAAGGTTTGAAGCCTTAAAATGTGACAAAGACACCTGACACATAAGGCAGAATGGCTTTCCACTAAGTTCAACAAAAAATATCAATTGTCCCACTCTGTCAAAAATGTTTCGTGTTCATCTTCATATTTTTGTTTTCCTGTACATTTTTTTCCTGCTATTTTGAGCGTGAAAGGTTTACTCAAATAATTTTAATCTCACTGAAAAAACTGCGCACAAGCGCATTTGACGAAAATACCATATTGAACTCAAGCGAAGCGAAACTTGGATATTATAGCGACCCTACAGTATGTGCTAAATGTCACTGGATGTTACGCTGTTTAGAAACAATTTAAATTAGAGTGTATGATTTCCCATTGTCCGCAATGCATCAGGATGGATGAGAGAGCAGGGGATGGGGGAGTGAGAGTGAGGGGTGAGTTTGTGTGAGAGCAGATGGTGAACGACTGGAAAGACTAAGGCTGCGAGAGAAACAAAGATTGTTTTTTTGTTTGTGTTGTTTTGGCGTGGTTACGGCCAACAGTAACGGCGTGCTGCTGTTGTCAATAAATGACAGTTCATTTGACTACTTCTCGTCATTATTGCATGTCTGGCAGAATGCGACTCTATGAACGTAAGAGCTGCATGGAACCGGTCAAAGAGACGCAAGGAACCGGTCAAAGAGACGCATGGAACCGGTCAAAGAGACGCATGGAACCGGTCAAAGAGACGCATGGAACCGGTCAAAGAGACGCGTGGAACCGATCAAAGAGACGCATGGAACCGGTCAAAGAGCCGCATGGAACCGGTCAAAGAGACGCGTGGAACCGATCAAAGAGACGCATGGAACCGGTCAAAGAGACGCATGGAACCGGTCAAAGAGACGCATGGAACCGGTCAAAGAGCCGCATGGAACCGGTCAAAGAGACGCATGGAACCGGTCAAAGAGACGCATGGAACCGGTCATGCCTAACAGGAAACTGGAAAAAGAACATGTTGGACTTCCGAGAGGATCGTGACTAACAAAAAATAGGGGAAGAGAACTCTGTATGCACATCAGTGAAGGTTGGTGTTCGAACTGTGGACTGGTAAAAAGCTGCTGCTCTGAGGAAACTTATGACAGTGAAATGTCAGCCTTGATATCTACCTTGGGAGTAGATATCAAACCAGTCAAAATGTAAATAATGGTGCTTGTCACCATTATTTACATTTCACCAGGTGGAAATGCTAATAAAACATCGAAGAAGCCGTATGACACCATTAGCTCATTGGAAATAAAACACCTGTGTTTCTTAAAGTTTTGTGTGGTTGTTTACTACGTGAAACTGACAAACACTCTCCCAGTTTTTACTACCATGTCACCTTTCCCACACGGGGAGGAAACACTCTGGACTGTGTGTACGCCAACATTCACGTGTGTACAGAGCTCTTCTTCGCCCCCATGTTGGCCTCTCCAATCACATCTCCGTCCTGCTGGTTCCAGCATGAGACAGATTAGACCAAAGAAGAAGAAAGTCAGTGTGTGGCCCAAGGATGTTTGTGTGCTCCAGGACTGTTTTCAGGTTACAACTTGGCAGGTGGACCTGGAGGAATACATCTTTTTCTGTTCTGAGCTTCATCTCTATGTGCTGTTGATGTCACCACCACAAGGACAGTAACCTGTTACCCGAACCAGAAACCCTGGCTGTTTGCTGAGGTGAGAGCTCTGCTGAAAGTTAAGGACACTGCATTCAGGACAGGGAAGCAAGGAAAGAACTGGCTGCAGGCATTGTGAGGGGCAAAGCCACATAGGCCTGGAAAATTCAAGGTCACTTCACCACCAACGACCCCCAGTGCATGTGGAAGGGCATGAGGTGCATCACAAAACTACAACATCAGGGACGCGTCATCAAGGACTCCATCAATATCACTCCATCAACATCTGAGTGCCTGATGGAGGAATTTGGGTCCACACAGACCTCACCCAGCTGGAGAGCAGAATTCTTACATCCATCGGCTCTTCTTGAATTTCTCCTTGGGCTTCAACACCAAGGAGTTGAGCTTATTGCCACAGCACTGTGTCACAGGTCCAGCCTTTTCTTGTAGACAGCACCAGGGGGTAGAAGAGTGAGAGAAGTGACCGGTTGTTGTTGAGAGCTGGAGGTGATAGTTTATGGAAGGCAGCTGTATTTGTTTACCCTTCCAGAAGAGGAATAAAGTTCTTAAAGCATTCATCTACCTCCTCCTTGGTTTTGTTGAGCTTGTTACCAGCAAATCTGTGAGGATCATGTTCTTTGATTGGATGAGCTGAGGGATCTGAGAGATTCTAATTCTTGGTTCATTCTTTCTGTGAGAGCAGAGCAAAAATGTTTCCAGACTTGAGAAGTGAACTGGGGACCACGATCTTGTCTCGGTAATCTGGAGAGAATTCTCGGGAAAGAGCCTCCGGCTTGACATTCTTAGAATCTGGGCGATAAGAGAGGGAGAGGTTAAAGCATGAGAATATAGAGACCAGCAAAACTGATGGGGTTAAGACGTTTGGCCAATTGGAAGTATGAGAGATTCTTATGATCAGTCCAGACCAACATAGGAAACTCTGTGCCCTCCAATCAATGAGGCCACTCCTCCAAGGCAAGTTTTATGGCAAGAAGCTCTCGATAGTTGCACTCGGTAGGACAATCTACGGGAATAAAAGGTACAAGGATGTTATCCGAGGATGATTGTGAGAGAATTGCACCAACCCCTGCATCAGAGGCATCAACCTCAAGAATGAATTGTTTCTGTGGATAACATTGAATGAGAAAGGGGGCTTTAGCAAAGTGGTCTTTGAGGTCAAGAAAAGCTGAATTGGCTTCCAAAGTCCATGGGAATGGAATCTTGGTAGAAGTGAGAGCAGTTAGAGGTGCTGCGGTCTGACTGTGGTTTTTAATGGATAGAAGTTAGCAAAACGTAAAAACCTTTGGAGTTGTTTGCGTGTCTCAAGTAGGGGCCAAACCAGAGTACTCTCCCTGGACCTGTGTGTACCTGTCCACCCTCGAGGATGTAACCAAGATATGAAATAGACGTCTTATGAAATTCACACTTCTCTGCTTTTACATAGAGATGATTCTTGAGGAGATGCTGAAGAACCAGGTGGATATGTTTTTGAGTAAATGAGAATATCATCTAAATATACAAAGACAAATACATTCAGGAAATTACAGAGAACGTTGTTGATCAGTGCTTGGAAAGTGCAGGAGCATTACAGTCCAAAGGGCATGAAAGTGCAAGGGGAGGGCATAAAAGCTGTTTTGCACTCATCTCCCTCCCTAATAGTGGTAGGGGTTGCGGAGGACTAATTTGGTAAAGTGGGTTGTTCCATAAACAGGTCATAGCGCTGAGGAGATGAGGTAATGGATACTTGTTTTTTGTATTGTGATCGGATTAAAACTCCTGTAATCAAGGCAAGGGAGCTGTCCTTTTTCCCCACAGCTCCAAGTGGGGAGGACAAGAGGCAAATGATTCCAGCTGCTAAGGAGTCACTTAGATATTTTTTCATTACCTCTCTCTCAGAAAGGGAAATGTTGAAAAGTCGGTTGGCGGGTAGGGCGGCTCCAGGAAGTAAATCAATAGCACAATCATATGGATGATGAGGTGGGAGATCTGGGAATATCACTCCCAGATTGTGATATTCAGGGAGGATGAGAGAGATCGGGAGGGTCAGCTCCATCAGGATCTGCCGGGCTGGAACCTGGAGGAACGGGACTGAAGGCAGGAGGCACATAGACCAGGATTCTATGGGTAAGTCTGACCAGTTGAGACGTGGACTGTGTCTGGAACCACTCGAAACCTAACACTATGGATGAAGGAGAGATGGGGAGGACAAAGAATGATATGACTTCATGATGGTTACCTGAGAAGATGAGTTTGAACCTCGTGGTTCCAACATTACAGTTATTTTTGTAATATTTTGTAAATTTGTTGATTTTATTGTTTTAATGACTTATTTTAATTTAGAGTGGACAAGATATAATTGATTTGTGAAAGACCTCTGAAGTGGCAAACGGCCACCAGGTAACTTGTCGAAGCATGTGTCACCTGTAAGTGTAGCTATGTCTAAAGCTTTGGTTTTTTTATTTCTGTTTTCATGGCGTTAATAACGAACCCGTCAAAAGAAAGCCGTACCAGTGTGTTATTTTGTATGGATAGGGGGAAGTGGAGACCCAATGATCCTCTCTGCTGTCTTCACAGAGACTCTCAGGCTGAGGCCTTGCAGATCCCAGACCAGATGGAGTCATTGCTGGTCAGCAGGTTCTCAATGGTTCCTCTGTAGAAGGTGGAGAGGATGGGGTGGGAGCGAAGCCCTTCTCATTTGTCTCAGAAAGTGCAGGCGCTGCTGTGCCTTTTTCACCAGTAAAGTGATGTGAGGTGTCCAGCTGAGGTTGTCTGTAATGTGAAGTCCAGGGAGACCAGTTTGCATACCAGATCCTGGGGAATGATCGTATTAAATGCCCCTTATCCAAAAACAGCATCCATCTTCAGTCGAGTGATTAGGTTTGTATACAAACTGGAATGGGTCAAATGATGGAGGCAGTATAGAGATCATGTGACCCTTAACCACTCTCTCATGATGATAGATGTTAATGCAACTGGTCAAAAGTCATTAAGACATGTGATGGTTGGTTTCTTGTCTTGGGGACTGGAATAATAGCTGACTTAAAACATGAGGGGACAATTGTCTGGTGCAGAGACGTATTGAAAATGTGTGAGCACATCGGCTAGCTGATCTGCACGTTCTTTGATCAGTTTTGCTGGAATGTTGTCAGGACCTGCAGCTTTTTGTATGTTGACCTTCCCCAGGGATTTTCACACAGCAGATGTTTCAAGCCTGCAGGCCTGTTCATTAGGGTGAGGGTAGCTTTCTTTGCAGGGTTTTATTTAAGGCTTCAAATCTTCCAAAGAAGCTGTTGAGTTCATTAAGGAAGCAAATGTCATCTTGTCAGGATGGAGATGTGTTTTTATAGTCAGTCACAGGCTGGATGCCCTGCCACAGTTGTCTGGTGTTTTTGACATCATGAAAGAAACCTTGGATCTTTTGACTGTAGGTATGTTTTGCTGCCTTGATGATACGTTTGAAATTGGTCCTTGATAATCTAATAGTATCCATGTCACCAAATTTGAAAGCAGGATTTCACTCTCAGTCTAGAATACGCCTCCTTTGTCATCCAAGGTTTCTGGTTGGCCCGTGTGACTTGACTTTGTTGCTGTAACCTTCTCCATACACCATTGGATGTAGTTTGACACAGATGCTGCATACTCCTCTACTGTGTGTTGGTTGTGCATAGCGCCCTCTCTGAACATGTCCCACTCTGAAACAGTCCTGCAGTGCAGACACAGCTCCCTCAGGACACACCGTTACCTTCTTCACCACAGGCTTTTGTCTGGTGAGCAGAGGTTGGTATGCTGGGATGAACATAACCGAAAGATGATCTGAAGAGCCAGATAGGGCCGGGGCATTGTTCTGAATTGATATTGGTATAGACCAAATCCAGCTTGTTTTCCCCTGTGGTCGGAAAATCCACATGTTGATGGAAAATAGAACAGTCTTCATGTCAGCCTGGTTAAAAGCTCCAGCAACAATAATAACACCCTACAGTTAACTGGATTGTCTGTCACTGATGGTCTGTATGGTAAAAGTTACTCAGTGCTTGCTTGGTGTTGGCACTGGGTGTGAATGACCAGGGTGGTGAATTCCTGCATCTCACAATTATGAACTCAGTGTTCACAGAGCAATGACCGGAGGCCATTGTTACATGAGCTGTTGTTAATGTAAATACAAACACTACTTCCACTGGATTTACTAGTAAGAGCATGGCTCCTGTCAGCTCTTATTATATATAATTATTAGATATTTTATTTCAAATATTCTTTCAGGGGACATAAGGTCAGTTAACAAAAATAACATTTATATAATCCAAATTCAAAAAAAGAAAATAAAGAGATTGTGCAAATGCCTGTTTGAACAGCAGAGCATTCAGCTGGGATTTAAAGACACAGCGTTCAGAGTGGGGAATGTGGACGTTTATTCTAAATAGAGGAATCATGTGCATAAGTTGTACATTTAGAGAACAGATATGCTTTCTGTCCATACAGTAGCATTTACAAAGCGGGCAGCTCGACTGCATCGGTACTGCACAGCTCCTTCTTTAAGTTTTACTCAGAGCTCCAGGATGATCAGTCTGAACAATCCAACACTAATAAATCATCATCAATAGATCAATATGATCGCTGATCAATCGTTCCCTCTGAATCCATCCATTGGCAATGTTCCCCATCAGAGCCAAAGCAGTCCTCAGTTAGCGGCTCACCTTTGCACAGCTATTTATATACTTGTGATCACCTTAAAATAATCAGACTAACCTGTACAACTCTCTCACTGGGGGGTCGGAGGTGACACAGGACAGAGGGAAGAAGGAGTAGTTTTTTCTACAAATGTGAACTCCATATTTATGAGGCCAAACCATACAGTGCAATACCATATCACTGGTCAATCTATCCACCAAATTGCTATAATTTCCTTTTGTGTTGTATTTATATTCTTTGTTTTGTATTTAATTTGTATTTTTTTGTATTCTTTTGTGTATGCTTACTGTGTGCCACATTTTTGCTTGTGAGCTGCTGGTAACTATAATTTCCTGAGGGAGTCTTCCCAAGGGATCAATAAAGTCAAGTCTAAGTCTTTAAAGTTAGTCTGCTGATCCATCCCTGTTTTCTTCTTTTAGTGAGAATGAAATGACCCCATAGAAGCATTTCATGCCCTTTGGTGCACACATCAATGCATTACAACTACATGAGACAAAAACTGACAAAAAGTACCATTTACATTTGAGTGAGGTTTTCACATACTTTTCTTTTATTTATGTTGTGTTTGTGTTAGCTTATTGTCTCAGGATAAATGCAGTTTAGTTTCATAATTTATATTTAAGCAGTAAAATATTAAAATCATGATAGAACATCTGGTTTGTTGCTTCCTGTTCTGAATAACACTTAAATGTCGTCAGATTTCAGTGCATTTAGGTGAGTTTTGATAGTTTGTAGTTTGATATTGTCCACAGAAAAAGTTTAGTGGCTGTTGCACATTTTCCCGCCAGCGAAAAAATGTGCATATATTTATGCAAACTTTGACGCAAAGTTCATTTTTATACATGCCAACTTGTGCGTAAAATATGGCACTGCAGATTTTTGTGCGCTCACAGGCTTTATGCATGAGGCCCCAGGTCTGTCAGTGATGCACTTCACTAACAGACATCATTCATATGTTCATCAACGAACTCATGACCACGTCCGGATTTCATCTCGATGTCATAAAAGTCAGATAAAATGCGACGACTGTTCAGACTGGAAACAATTTAAAAATAATCATACATATCCAACTTATTACTACATAACATATATGTCATATAGTGAGGGTTAAAAAATAGATTTGGTCCCATTTACCCTCTGTGTGAAAATAGCCTTGAAGCCTAAATGCATTGAGTTTCTGCAGGTGATAGGCTAACCTGTTCCCAGGGAAAATAAGCAGGTAGGTGTCACTAATGAGGGATGCAGGTTGTGAATATTGAAACTGTTTTCAATTTTATGAAGTCAAGTTCTCATCTTCATTTGCTCATGCATATTTTCTTATTATTAAGGAAACAGAAATGAACACAAATAAAGTTAGAAATACGAAATATACACATAAAAATTACTTCAGAATTGCCAAATGCACCATTTGTTTACATAAATTCTAAAAAAAAAAATACTTTGCACACATATTTAATTTGACCATTTTTCAGTTTTCGTCCCTTACTGTTGTTGTACTTGATGTATCAGTGGATTGTACTGCAGTATCTGTGAAGAGACATGTAGAGGGTCAATGGAGGGGGAAAAGATCATGGAAATATAAGAATCAGAGGAACTATCAGCAGAGAAAAATATAGTATGAAGTCATTCTATGCTTACAAATTAAACATACCTGTTTCTGGAACACTCATTATGTCATTGTCCATGCAACTTGAAAAAAATTAAGCCCAACCACACCGTACTTTCAATTACATTGTGCTCCCGTTTTCGTTCTTTATTTCCTTTGTTCCTCGTCTTCTGTCATGTCTCCAGTTCAAAAGAGACACCTGAGTGGCTTGGTTCTCAGGTCCATGGCTCAGGTTGCAGAATCCCTCCCACTTGCTGCATTGGATTACAAATGGCCATGGTCCAGAAATCTAGAGGATGAATCTTACTTGCAAGTACTTTCAATGTACCTTTTATAATTCTGTACACTGAGCAAAGAGTGGCTCAACTATTCAAACATTTCACATCACATAGGGACATGTAGTTCTATTTTTCTTTCTTAATAATAAATACTTTCTTTCATAAACAGCATTTTGTGTTTACTTGTTTTGTCATTGAGTAATACTCAAAAGGTCAGTACTATGTATTTTCCAGACACATAGTGCCATTTTTGTCAGATCAGGTGTTTTAGGACATGAAGTAGTGAATGGTGGCGTGGCATCTTTCAGTTTATCTACTGATGTTTTTAGACTGGAGTGAGCAAAATAAGACTGACACCAGATGAGACACATACAGGAATAGAACAGGCTCGATCTAAAATACTACAGGAAACAAGTGAGGGCAATAACCAATCAGGAGGCACAGGTGGAAAACATTAACGGCGGAGACAGAGCTGGAGAACCAATGACCTAAATCCATACAGACAAAAAATAAAACTTGACACCTGAAAGAAAACTAAATCTATGTTACATAAAAAAACCACAACACATCCGAAAACACTGACATTGTGACAATTTTATCGCATAATCAAGCAACTAAGTGATTTTCACTTGTTATTAAAATGCTATATGTCATGGAAAAACACTATTCCAAGCACTGTTCAGGTAAAATCACTCAACCAGGTTTATTTATGAATTGTGCATGACTCAGAGAACTTGGAAGAGAATCTGTAATCAAGCCAGTCTGGATGCGAAACTCGCAAAGCTCTGCCAGGCAGAGACAACACGTACGTTTTATACAATGATAAGAATGAGAAACGATGAAAACAAGGGATGAGACGGTCTGGTTCTGATGCAGCTGTGAAAAACAACCTTCCAACCTCATACATGTAACCCAAGTAGTTCTTTTGGTGAGAGTTCACAAACATTTCATATGACATGATTAGCAGATGTGACCTTATTGCATTCTTTTTCATCACATTATACATCAAATATGATTGAAAATAAATTTTACTTTGTAATTTAACATCTTGAAATTGGGCTTCTGTCTTTTTAAAAACTTGTGCTTTTCCTGAAACTCCGCCCTCAGAAAGTCATTACGTCATGGCTCCTCTATCTACCCTCTAAAAATATTTAGATCAGAGAAGTAGCTCCAATGATGGGCTTAGGAGATGTGCACTTCCACCAGATGGTTGTGAATTTTGCTGACTGGTATGAAGGAGCTGAGTGGGAGTTGTGAAGGACTGCGCTGTTGGACAGAAGCTCTGAAGTGAGGAAGGTTAGAAGCTGTAGCTCAGAGGAAGAACTTGAAGTCTAACCAGGCCTTTTGCACAACTGAATGGTTGCCACGGGAGAAAGGATTTTTCAAACTTACATGAAAGAATCAAAGCAACAGTTGGACTGGAGTTTTTCATTTTACGATGGTTGAAATGGCTCTATTGGAACCATCAAGTATAAATTGTTGTTAAAATAGTAAGCTTCTGCCATCTAATTCACCTTACTGTGAGTAAGGTTAAACCGACACCGTACAAATACTAAAATTCTATTTTCCAGACAATAGAAACACAAAAACACGCACAAATTATTGTTTTTTTGTACTGTCCATCCATCCATTTTCTTCCACTTATCCGGGGTCGGGTCGTTTGGGGAGGTCCAGACTTCCCCTCCCCAGCCACTTCCTCCAGCTCCTCCGGGGGAATCCAGAGGCGTTCCCAGGCCAGCCGGGAGACATAGTCCCTCCAGCGTGTCCTGGGTCTTCCCCGGCGCTTCCTCCCGGTGGGACGCGCCCGAAACATCTCACCAGGGAGGCGTCCAGGAGGCATCCTGACCAGATGGCCGAGCCTCAACTGGCTCCTCTCCATGTGGAGGAGCAGCGGCTCTACTCTGAGTCCCTCCTGGATGACCGTTAAAATGTTCTCAGTGAACCTACATCATCTCTCATGAACTGGCAACCTACCAGATGTCTGTTCACTGTATTTAACGCTGCCAACCACCAGGAGGGGGTGCTGTTTCACCCATCACACCTGAACCCAACTTGGCAGTAATGACAAGTGGAATTCTATACAACATTAACTATGTTACACTTTTGCTGACTTCAGTCTTCACCTCATCTCGCACTTGGATAGTTTTGTACCAATTTGCCCTGGAAGTGGAACGTAAGTCCAGATCTTAAGCTTCTTCTGATCTGCGGGTCAAAAGCTACATTTGATCCCCAACAATGGTCTATCTGTCGAAAGTACAGCTCCATTTAACAAATATTTTTACTTGTTTTCCTTGATTACACACTTCTTGTTCTTTCAAACAGAACTGGCTGGGAATAGCTGAACAATATTTCATTAAATTAAATTGAATTATGCAATTGTCACAGCCTGGCTCTGACATAAAAGTGAGAAAATGACACAAGGACATGCTTGTTGATGTTCAGAGGAGAGACAGAGACCCGGAATTAGAATAAGGACAGAAACCCTGTGTTGTAACTTGGACATAAAAAATGGTGGGACTGGTGTTAGGCATTTGTACTGCTTAAAAATACAACAAAAATGTTGAAATGTACAGTAAAAGTATTTTTGCTTTCCACATTCATTGATGGAGATATTTGACTGTTTAAATCTGTTTTTTTATGACTTATTAGAAACAAAGGAAAATTTGATTTAGTCACTCAGTAGAATAAAAAAGATAATCAATACTTTAGTTAAGAATTTTTTTTGTGACAGCTTGCTCTGTTAACATTGTCATATCTCTAAGATGGCAAAACCGCTCCCCCCCCCAAAAAACAGTAAAACTGAATCTAACTGTCAATTTGACTAATTAGAGACATGATTACATATTCAGCTGTCACTCTGGGAAAAACAAACAAACAAACTCATGAGGTTAAAAGTTAGCTGTATAAAGTGAAGCTAATGAACTAACAAATAAGGACAAACATGGCATATAAACAACAAAACAGAACAAAGGCCTGATGCTACATTGTGAAAAACAAAAAGACTGATGGAAGTAAAATGTCCTCCTTAAACTAATTGTTACTTTTGTGAAGTAGCTTTTAAAGGAGAAAATGTTTTATTTTCATCATACAGTGTTCTTATGTATCACATAAATGTAATTATATCATAGTCAAGATGTTTTGTCATGCAGCTGCAGAGGATGTACAAACTAAGTGAACAAGATGTTTCTGTTGAAGTTCCCAGACGGGTTATCTAGGAACTCGCTGTTTTTCCCTGCATGGAGATCAAGTGTTTAGTTTTCACATCCTGTAGACATGATAGTGAATGAATGTATGAGGTTGAACTGTTCCGCCTGTTTTCCTTTGTTTGATTCTTGAAGATTAAATCTCCACCTGTTAGCAGAGAGAGGTGAATAAAGCAACTACGTAACTCAGTTTGTTGGAGCAGATTTTGATTTTCGCCTAATGCAGTGCATTTTTGCTCTCCGTCTGCAGATGTATTAAAGATTGTCTAGATCTCAGTCTCTGAATTGTGTACTTCACATTTTATAAACCCAAAATGTTACAGGAAATTTCTGGGGAACACCAACATCAAATTTCTTTCACGCTAACCTGAAGACATTTGTTTAAAAATCATGATGACATCTCTAAAGAAAATGTATGACGTATTCCCTGTAATGACCTGGCAAAAGAAATTCTAATATCAATTTCAGCATTTTGTGACAGATTCTGAAACAATGCACCTTTTTTTTCCCATTGTAACTTCATTAATGTTTTTAGAAAGATTTTCAAAAGTGAATATTGTAAGGAAATCTATTCCATCTTTAAGTTTTAATATAATGAAATTAGGAATGAAGAAACAAATTATGATAACAATCTAATCTTCTGGGTTAAGTTTTATTCACAAATACTGCTTCCTAAAAATCACCTCTATATTGAAAGTTCAATAATTTATTTAAGACAGTATTTCAATTTTGCAACATCACAAAAGCCCAATCTTTATACCAATACGTTAGTAGCTTAGTTTAAGAATTGAAATTTGTCTTGCATTTGTAGCATTTTATTTTCCTTAGTTTGTGATTATTCCAGTTTATCATATCAAACTTTTTATTACTAATATGTGCCGTGCCATAAACCTGTCCAATTAAATTTTGTTGAATTTCATCTGAAGATGGAAAAAAAAACATTACCATAAATCCACCTTTCAACTCAAATCATCATTTGCAGTAATAAATTGCTTTGGTAATATATTTCACCAAAAGCCCTGAACAAAGGAAGAAGTGTGTTTATTGGGACAGGACCAATGACTAGCAGCAGACTATCAGGATGCTGAGGCTGCAGCCAGAGGGCAAGAGACCAAGAAAAGGAGATTTATGGATGAGGTGATAGTTGGTGTAAGGGAAAAGGACTAAATAGAGAGTGATGATTTGCTGTAGCGACCCCTGAAGGGAAAAGAAAAGAAGAATATATATATTAATGTCAGAATCTTTACATGTTCATTGATTTAGATTTTTTTTCATGACTCACCTGGTGGAGATTGAAGTTCAGATTGCACACATTCTCAACCCATCGGCTGTTTATTTCATAGACTCATCATTGACCACTTTTACTTTTGGGCATCAAGTTTTCCAATATTTTATTGATCAACAGCTAGTTACAATAATGTAATTGTATTGCAATAATGGCTACAGCAGGATCACAGGCACTAAAGCAGGAACAGACAAAGACCTTTTGATGACTCTGGGAAAGCAAACAGTATCAGGAAGAGTGTTTAGCTCAGTCTGGTTATAATACACCAATAACTCGGGCTTAACAGATATAACAAAGCATGTTATAATCTTTATGTTACATGAAAGCATTCTAAAGCCAAATAACACATTTACGGTAAAATCTGCTGTGACTAAGAAACTGGATTTCTGGCCTGTGAAGCGCAACTAAAATATCCGTGTTCTGTGATCCCACAGCCTTCAATCAATGTATATCAAAGCTGCAGGCTAGCTTAGGAAAACAGAGCTAGCAGGTACAACAAAGTTAGGAAGCTCCTTTTGCTCTCAGTTTGGACAGCAGCATCTCATTTTTGCGACACTCCTGGTGATAAAAAAAAAAAAAAAAAAAAAAAAGAT